CTGTTGCTGCACCTAACATAAACACCAAAAATCTTGTTGATTTCATTCATTTAGAAAAACTTGGTAGAAAACGATGAAAATTGAAAGTCCTATGAACCATAATATAGGACATAAAAAACTAATACTATAGAAATTTATTGCAAGTTATCAAAACACCGCAAAACACCGCTTGTTAAATATCCCCCAAGGGTTAATAATATTAAACTTATATAAAAAATAAAAAACGAACAGTATATTGACACTGCACCTGCTCATTCAATTGCATATGCTCATAAACTGCACTGGCCAAGTACTCATCTTGTTCATCTTCCCAAGTTTCTATTTCTTCTTTTGGTTCTGCAAGGAACTAGAGTAATCATTTGAACTCAAAAAGGGTGACTTTACCAAATATAACCTCCCAAGTCAGGCATCTGCATGATCATTCACAACACTTATGGAAAGACACGAATACGCACAACACTTTGATGCATGCCTTAACAGCATTGGTTTTAAAATGGGACTATTAATTACCCTTTCCTTCCGGCTCTCTCCTGAGATCCTCGTAAAATATTCTTTGCATTTCTAACATCATCTCTTCACATTCACCTTGATATGCATCTTGAAGGCCATTGTACTCCCATAATTCATCAGAGGCTTCGGAGACGGAGTTTGATCTTCCCAAACTGTCACTTATTGACGAGTCTTTAATTTTTTTGAGTTCATCAGAAACTATGTCCTGAAAAGCAGACTTCATGAACTCCTGAAACCAGAAAACATAATAAATAAATAAGGGGTGTACAAACAAACTCAACCGCATGAACCAAGTTCAAGACAAACACAATTATAAGAAATCAAGAAAAAACACCCAAATTCAAAAATACCAACAAATTTTACAAGCACCAAAAGAATATGTGAAAGAAAACTTCACTGGGCTATTTTTCCTACGTTACTCGAACTTGAGTGCAAGTGTTAAATGCGGATATCCATCTAACACGGGTATATTTTCCCTACGTTTTTTCATATATTTGGAGAGTTTTTAAGGGTTTTCTGTCTGACACAAGCGTTGAACAAGGGAATTTCAAGAAAAATTAGAAAATGAAAGCAATATAGATTTTATCAAGGGAAGCTAACAATGAAAAATGCAAGGATCATTAAACTCTGTAACAACCAGTATTCTCAAATAACTTCCAAGTTCAGGGTAACCAGATATGAAGCAAAAGATTCCCTTTTGCCATATCCCATGTCCAAAGGCAATAAAGATAATGGCATATATTGGAATCCAAGGTGATTAGAAGCACCGAGCTTATAATGGATAAGAACTGCAACACAGGTAGATATAGAAACTGGAAAGAAAGAAAAGAGAGGTGCATTTGAATGAAAACAGAGAACCTTGTGATTGAAAGATTGGGCAGCAGGCAACCTCATTTTCCAAAGCAAACGAGTCCTGTCTTCTCGCACCCTTTTGTAACAATTTTCTCTCAACTATACTTCATCATCCACAATTTAAACAATATTCATCAATTTCAAGTTTTCAACAGAAAATTAAACGGTAAATGGACTGAACCAGAAACCTAAAAGACGATTGAAAACCCATAATTAATCCTTAGAAAGTGAGACGAACCTTGTCTTTCCAAAAGGAGTAGTTGTTGAAACGGGGATGGGATTTAAGCGAAGGTCGTTTGATTGTTGGGCAATCATCTTCCATCTTATGACTCGTGTTTTCGAGCAATCTCGAGAGGGGTAGTTGGGAAATGAATCCTTGAATCGTTGTGGAGAAGAAACTCAGGTTAGTAGTTGGTGTAGAGTTGGGCGATTGGCGATTGGCGCCTCGGCGGTTGATTTGGGTCTTGGCCAACGGGCCTAGATGTTGGTTGGCCCTAAGGCCTAAACATCCACATATAGAATTCACGGCGTCGGTTGAGACAACAAGCCTTAGCGGCAGTCAGATGGACTGAGCCGAGTTACGGTGGGAGCGGTGAAAATTAAAGAGCCGACAGCTCTGTCACTCGAGGTCACTACCCCACATTAAATATTTCAATTTTTTTACTGTTCCCACATTCTTCGATTTGTCACTCTATTATATAAATCATCCAATCTCCGTTTTATTCTCTTCAAAATATTTGCATAATTGTTAGTAGCTTTAAAGTTAAACAATTGAGAGGGAAAAGAAATAGCAAAGAGAAGCAAAATCCAGGGTTCTCTGCTTCGTTCTCACGCGTTTTCTGTGTCGTCTTTGGATCCAGGAGCCGAAATTCCTCTAGACCCGTCTCAGGTTCTTTATCCAATCTTCTTTTTTCGTTTCTCCGCCTTTTACTTAAATGGATTTTTGGTTCTAGATCTAATCTTCCAATTCTTCTTTTGTTTAGTACTATGATCTGTTTTATGATTTTGTATTGATATGATTGGTTTTTAGTAGTTTTGGTTGAAATGATATGTTTAAAAAATCATGCTTTTTTGCATTTTGGTATATGGATCTACTGCTTTTAAAGTTGATTCAATGAAATTGTTTTATGCTTAGGCATCTGGGTATCTTTTCATTGTTTTTTTGTCGTTTTAGTTGATGTTAAGTTGAATTTGTATGGAAACTGATTGTTGAACATCTGTTTTCTGTAGGTTTCGTTTTTCATTCTGAATGCTTCGGTCTAGAGTAGCTTAGATTCGACAGTATATTGCAAGATCTGCTATCATCATGGTTTTCTCGGAAAGAAAGATCCCCGGAATCTGCACGGTTTTTCTGTTTGTGGTTCTTTTTGCCCATTATTCTCATGGGTTTTACCTGCCTGGAAGTTACATGCACACGTATTCGACCTCGGACACTATATTTTCCAAAGTTAATTCATTGACTTCCATTGAAACCGAGCTTCCTTTTGGGTATTACAGTCTCCCTTACTGCAAACCTCTCGGTGGAATAAAGAAAAGTGCCGAGAATCTTGGTGAGCTTCTCAGGGGAGATCAGATCGATAATTCCCCTTATCGGTTTCGAATGAATGTGAATGAGTCTCTCTACCTTTGCACTACCAGTCCCTTGAGGGAGCATGAGGTTAAGCTTTTGAAACAGAGGACTCGCGATTTATATCAAGTGAATATGATTCTAGACAATCTGCCGGTTATGAGGATTGCAAAACAAAATGGGGTTAACATTCAGTGGACTGGATTCCCAGTTGGGTATACCCCACCAAATAGTAATGATGATTACATTATCAATCATCTGAAGTTCAAGGTCTTGGTTCATGAGTACGAAGGCACTGGTGTGCAAATAATTGGAACCGGGGAAGAAGGGATGGGTGTGATCTCTGAAGCTGATCAGAAGAAGGCATCTGGTTTCGAGATTGTTGGTTTTGAGGTGATTCCATGCAGTGTCAAGTACGATCCAGAAGTTATGACTAAACTTCACATGTATGACAGTATCTCTCCTGTGAGCTGCCCCTTGGAACTAGACAAGTCACAGATAATAAGGGAACAAGAGAGGATCTCTTTTACTTACGAGGTTGAATTTGTTAAAAGTGATATTAAATGGCCGTCTCGGTGGGATGCTTACTTGAAGATGGAAGGAGCACGTGTGCACTGGTTTTCAATTCTAAATTCTTTGATGGTGATTACTTTCTTAGCCGGTATCGTGTTTGTCATATTCTTGAGGACTGTGAGGAGGGATTTGACAAGGTATGAGGAATTGGACAAAGAAGCTCAAGCACAAATGAATGAAGAGCTTTCTGGATGGAAGCTTGTTGTGGGTGATGTTTTTAGGGAACCAGAATGCCCCAAACTTCTCTGTGTGATGATCGGAGATGGAGTTCAGATCACAGGAATGGCAGCTGTCACTATAGTTTTTGCTGCCTTTGGTTTCATGTCACCAGCTTCACGAGGAATGCTACTGACAGGGATGATTATTCTCTATCTTTTCCTGGGTACAGCTGCTGGGTATGCTGCTGTACGACTCTGGAGAACTCTCAAGAGCACTTCTGAAGGATGGAGGTCTGTTTCCTGGTCGGTCGCATGCTTCTTTCCTGGAATTGTCTTTGTCATCCTCACGGTATTAAATTTTATTCTGTGGGGAAGTAAAAGTACTGGTGCAATTCCCATTTCTCTGTATTTTATACTCTTGTCTCTCTGGTTCTGCATTTCTGTGCCTCTCACTCTCTTGGGAGGATTCTTGGGGACTAGAGCGGAACCTATTCAATATCCTGTACGGACCAACCAGATCCCTAGGGAGATTCCTGCACGCAAATATCCTTCTTGGCTTCTCGTTCTTGGTTCCGGGACCCTTCCATTTGGAACCCTGTTCATTGAACTCTTCTTCATCCTTTCTAGCATCTGGCTTGGCAGGTTCTATTATGTCTTTGGCTTCTTGCTTATAGTTCTCTTACTACTGGTCATTGTTTGTGCTGAAGTGTCAGTGGTCCTTACCTACATGCATCTCTGTGTCGAGGACTGGCGATGGTGGTGGAAGGCTTTCTTCGCTTCGGGTTCAGTTGCATTCTATGTGTTCCTATACTCTATCAATTATTTGGTCTTTGACCTTCAGAGTTTGAGTGGTCCTGTATCAGCTATTCTTTATCTTGGCTACTCCATGATCATGGCAATTGCAATCATGTTGTCTACAGGCACCATTGGCTTCATCACATCATTCTATTTTGTCCACTATCTTTTCTCATCCGTCAAGATCGATTAAAAGTTTCATCATGGTCTTCAGCTACCAGTATTTTGTCCTGTATTTCTCTCTTATTTTTAATCAAACAGAAAGGCCTCTCTCTTCTTTGTCTAATTGACTATTATTTGTTTTCTTGTTGAATTAAATGTTCTTTAATTGATTTGATCCTATCATAAAGACACCAACCTATATTATTTATTTCTCAAAAATATTTACAGGCAGGACAGACAGGAAAAGTTACAGCCACTACTAGTCTTATACAAGGATGAAAAAGTTTTTGAAAACTTACAACTGAAAGTGTTCTCTTTAACTATAGCTTTTACACAGTTTTACTTAAAAAGGTGCCGTACGAAAACTTTAGACAGTATAGAAGTTATAAGGCTTTATCGAGGTTCTTTGGTTCATCATCATCCCAGTTCAATAAGGCTCTTAGTTGGTCCTCATCATCAGGCCAGTCCACGGTGCTAGCAACTGCGGGTGAAGTTTTCTGTTGCGATGAACTTCCAGAACAGCCGGATGAAGATGAGAAACCCCCCTGAGGTGCAGCATGAAAAGAAGCTGCTTGCTGTTGATATTCAGAAGGTGGCTGTTGATGGCCGAGATTGGCTGGGGTTGTCGGTTTGTTATAAGTAGGATATGCATTCTGCTGGTTGGAATAAAACGGTGGCAGTGTAATGGCTGATGTTCCGAAACCGGATGCATTATGCTGGTTGAAACAAAACGGTGGCATTGTCATGGCTGATAAACTAGATGGACCAGCAGGTATGGTCGTGAAATTTCCTAAACTAGACGGGGCTTGCCTATTCAGGACTGTGTTTCCCATGGTTCCACTGCCTATATACTGATTGGCGAACTTCTTGCACGCGCGTTCCAGTGCATCGTATAGGTACGTTCTTTGTGCTTCCAGACACCTTTGAGCATGCTTCTCAGCCTGCAAAATTATGGCTTTAATATTATGGATGCTGAACAAAGAACATACAAGAGTTTTTCTGTTATCTTTTTCTAGGCTTTGGCTGTAAAATTAGGAGCTAATTTATCTTGAAATATATTAAGAGTAAATTATTCTAACCTAAAATAGAGCAGAAATCAATATACATAACATTCATAGCTTCACATAAAAGATATTCTTGATTTTCAACAATTATTACTATATAATGTTAAAAAAAATTCAGAATAGAGCGATATTTACCGAGCTGACTTACCTCAAGTTTCAGATAGAGTTCTCCCTTCCCGTTTTTTGAATTTCTTCTGCCTCTCCTGCATATTGAACGCCAGCAATCAACCAAAGGTATCAAACCTTGAACCAGTTAAGCAAAAATTTAAATATATCGATATACAGAATCACGTCGATGAAAAGAAAACATACCGGTTATCATACGGGACCGAGTTCGAACGAGTAACGCTGCTTGAACTTCCAGCAACTTGAGAGAACGAGACTTCTTTCATTCAGAATTTGTTTTCAAAATATATGGTCAGCTCGAATAGCAACATGTTTTACTCATAATAACAAATATCAGAGAAAATATTTGCCCCTACACCAATCCTTTTCGAATTTCTGATTCAAGGTGAAAAGGACATACCATAATGATTCGAATCGCAGGTTAAAATGAACAGAACCTACCGGTATTGCCTGCCTCAGTCGACTCCTTGTCTGCATATCTGCCCAGTCTGTATTTCTGAGGCATACATCGATTAACATTTACATAAATGATAGTCCTTCATATGGAAACTTTTAACAGTTGGTTTTAAGTGCTAAAGAGAGGAATGTTTTAATTAAATACAAACAAAAACTTACTTGTAAATGACTCTTGACATGGAGAACACCGAGTCCATCAATATCCATCAGATCCAGGACGGCCTTTGGCGTTGCTCCTGCAAAAAAGATTCACGGTATGGTCAATCAATACGTAATGGTAACTACAAGGTTACTTATGGGCAGCAAAGGCAAGACGAGTCCTCCGGTAACATTTCAGAGCCGGAAAAACATAAGCCGAAATTCATTTAATGCATTATGACTTCCTGGAAACTAACGAATGAGCCTTAGAAAAAAGGGTGCAAATTGTATTACTAAAGAATAAGTTGTATTGTCAAAAAGAGGTGAAAGACTGGTATAGTGGCCATCTTCGTTTAGGTTGGTCCATCATTGAACAATCAAGCATTATGTCCTAACGTTGTTCTTGGGATATTCGATTTCAGTTGCAACCGAGTCCATAATAAACTAAATAGCCAATACTAAGCAGAAATGGTAATACTCTAACTGCAAGTGCCATTTGCAGACTCATGGCGATGCCCTATTCTTCAATAATGTGAACATATTGAAAGTCGTCAAAGCGTGCGAGCAACGGTGCACAAGCCGACAAGCTTGCAGTTGGTACCGTCAAATACGATACCGAAGAAACAGCATTCAACATATATCATCATCAATGCTATGTAAAGCCGTAAGACCGTTACATACGGCTTTAAGAGAAACGACATAATACAAGTCGATAAACTTCCCATGAGCATTTGGAAGAGTATGAACATTGCTCCTAGAATGCAATGTAACAGAACTACATGAAGATATATGAATCAAAAAAGAAAAGTTTAACATCCATAAACGGCCACTGATCGGCATATATTTTGTCGACTGCAGCGAGGAACCTACACGGACTTCCTAGATTACCGTTAAGTCGATCTATTTTAACATGTCAAGCATAGAAAGGTAAAACAACACTGCAAAAGGAAAATTGGAGCATGCAGTGAGCAAATTGGCAATGAGTTTTAGGAATCTTCCACATAAAAAGAGATCAAGGGGACCAAAAAACATCGGAGAAACAAGATGTCAAATTCAAGCAAATCTTATTTAAAACTATGATCAAAACATTGTCAGTGGAATCTAAACAAAGGGAAGAAGCGGTCGGAGAATAGCATCTGCCGTAGATGATTTAGTTTGATCTTACCAGGAAAAAATAGAAACTCATGCAAAAACATATAAAATTTGTTGAAGTGTTGGAGGACAAAAATTTAGCAACTTATGCAAAAACTCATTTGCACACACGGATGAATTAATTTCTCTCTACAATTGGTTGGAGTGTTTGAATGTTGATTGAATAGCCTGAAAAGCAGTAAAAACAAACTCCAAGCACACCGTTAAACGAGTAGAGTTACTTTCCCAAGAAACAAACATGTATCATTCTACAAGGAAAAGAAAAAGGAAAAGGAAATTTTAAAGCTGAGCAAGAAAAATGAAGCTGGGGGAGAATTTAACTATTCAACATAACAAGGTGTAAAGTGACTGAGCCAGCCTAAGCGGTCGATGATGCATGTTGGATAAGGATGAACAAGAGAAGGGAAAAAACCCCTTAGACATCTTGCCAAACACTAACTAAACAAGGCATGCATGTTGTTTCCAGTCAAAAGAGCAGAATCAAGCTGTTTTATGAGTTATTTTCTTGCTCCTACCACATGTTCTCAAGATGAATCCATTTTAGACACCAATTAATTCAACGTATATCACCTGATATAAGATTATTTTAGTTTATTTTAAGAAAGGAAAAGGATATTGAAAAAACTACATGGGACAAGGAAGTAAAAATGGCAGAGAATTTAAGGAAATGGACACTGACTATGAGGGCCACCGAGCCTGTTGCAAACATCGACAAAGCAATCATGGAGTTCCTTAGTCCATCGAAGGCGAGGTTTATTATCTTTAGTCACCGTGAGCTGAGGTTTCTCCTTCACCTTTTGTACCCCCTCGTAACCAACAACATCATTAGCCTTAAAAACAGTAGGATTTCCAGGGATTTCTTGCGAAGCAAGCAATCTGTTTCTATCATCACCCTGGCGAAGTAGCTGCAGGCCATTGACATGATCACCTTGACCAGCTGCCAACACTTGTTTTCCTAGCACCAACCTCCTAAACTCATCAGAATTCTGGTTTACAATATCGTTTTCCATCGGAGCACTCTTCATTCCACTCGATATCTCACCCATTTCTCCTCCCTGAATCTAAATTTCTTGCAGAACTGAAACTGAGATTACCACAGATATATATAACTGATGAACAAAGCATGTCCCAAATATGACATACCCCATAAGAAACCAAAGAAAAGAAAACTGAGGACCCCACCAGGAGAGTTTCTGTGGGGGCCACAGAACTAATTAGCACTAGTAGAAGTTATAAGAACAATACAAAGAAATACACAACGCCTGTTTTGTAATTATCTTGATATTGGGGGAAAAGAGAGTGGAAGTGAGACTTTTGAACCAGGACAAGCAGGGAGAAGAAATCGAGGAGGAGAAGGAAGGGGAAAGTGGAGGATTGATAAGCTTACCGGAGAGGTGAGTGACAATGCACATTGTAAAGGGGGAGTACATGACGTGTACGGAGGGCCGAGGTGTCACAGCGTGCATGGAGAGTGGCGTTGGGATAGTGAGTCCACCGACTGGAGGGGGGAGAGGAAGTTGTGAAAGTGAAATTCTGGGGTGCATGAGGCGAAACGTGGAACGCAGTAGCTTTTCGGTGTTTTGTTCATAATTACAGTCGTTCATGATTCTCCATTTGCTTCCGATGATTTAAGCCTTAGAAAAACTCTGGGTTAGATGGGGTCATTTTCTTCAAGCCCATGCACACACCATTGAAGCGAGCTGAAGAAGAAGAAGATTTGTAGTTATTATCTGAAACATGTTATGGATATATATATATATATATATATGATAATTTGCCATTCAAATTTACATTCAAAAATAAAAATGTGGATATATTATCATATATTTTATAGAAGACATTTACTGTGTAACTCGGAACCTGCCATTGCACAGAGAATTAGACCAAGATGTTCTGGTTTTGGTGTAGTGAAACTGAAGGTTGTCAGATTTTGAGTTGGTCTCTGTCAAACTAAAAGACAGTCTAGAATCTGGTTTGGTTGCTTGTATGATAATTAAAATGGGTAAACTCCATCGGTTGTCACTTTTGTTTGTTTTTTCTATTCTGATCACAAAATTTTCTATTATTATGTTTCAGTCACTTACTTTGTTAATCTGTTACAATTTAATCAGTGAACTGTTAACTCTTGTAACATTTATGATGTGACATGATAATAAAAAATGTTAATTTTTTATTTGATTTCTAAATTTTAAATAAAATATTAATTTAATTTTAAATTTTCGTTTCATTTATTTTTCGTTCCTTTAAAATAAATAAAAGTGATTTCTATTGTAATTTATCTTAATTATACATTTGTTATATTTATTTTTTAAATTTTAATTTTAATTATACAAGCCTAATTAAATTTAAAAATCGATGAATAAAATAAATGAAATTCATTATAATCGATCTTGAATTAAATCCATTATAATTTATATGTGACATTTATATCAAACTTTATTAATATTAAAAAAGCAAAAATATGAACCTAAAATATTCAATCATTTTCATGAAAATTCTAAAAACATTGACACACAATATTATTTAAATAATTTTTTTAGGTAATTAGATGAAAAAAATTAAATAGTTCATGTACCTATTTTTGATAAAAAAAAATACTTTAGATAAATATTTTAACTAAAAAGATAACTTTAAATAATTATTTTGATAAAAAAATACTTTAAGTACATAAAAGAAAAAATAGTACACTTTATGTACTTATTTATCATATAAGTATTAATTTTTTATCAAAATATTATAAAATCATCATTACATTTTATTGAATTGTCACAAAATGATTATTAAATCTATCAAACTTTTATACTTGTTATAAAATTATAATAATTTGATAAATTTAGTAATTTTTAAATATTTAATGATAAAATCATAATTTGATGATCCGTGAAATTATCTGGACATAATTATATTTTCGTTTTCGAAATTAAAAAAACTTATTTTCTATCGAACAAAGTTTTCAAAATCAAAACGAACTAGATTCTCTATTCTTTTTTAATAAATTTGGGATGAATACAAGATAATATCAATTCAAAGACTTTTAATCATTTAATAATGGATATTCATACTCATGTATACGCGATATTTAAATCCAAACCTCAAAAAAATAACAATAAATCTCTTAACTACTGAGATATAATCTTATAACCTTAAGTTTAGGTATTTGGGTCAGCAAGTCCTCTATGGTGTTTAAGGACAAAATATATTTAAGTGAGGTTTGAAGACAATTTGTTCTGTTGCTTTGTGTTTGCTGACTAATGCAAAGCATTGCATTGCACTGGCAACGTGTGTTTTTATTTCATCTCTAAAGTAACAGTAGTCGTGAAGCTTTTTTTTCACCCTTCAAATCTCTAACGTTTTGACTCATATTTTTTTTTATTTTGTTTTGACAGATGTTTATGATGTAATAAAACAATTCCTTTTAATCTGTTAATTGATAAAATGAATAAAGGTGCAAGATATAAAGGAGTTTTACTCTGACTCAATAGTTAGATATAATAACAAAATAAAGGTGCAAGATATGGTTGATAATTATGGAAGCTGGGATTGGAATTATCTAAACGGGGTACTAACCAAGGAGATTTTTTCTTACATTGCTGCTATCAAACCACCAGTGGACAATGGAGGATTTGATATCCCGATCTGGAAATGGGACAAACACAAGCGTTTCACAGTTAAGAGCGCTTATAAACAACGAGTAGGTCCTCTAATGGAGAATGAAAATGCTTTAGACTGGCACCAAATCATGAATTACCGTGGTCCTCCGCGTGTAAAGATGTGTCTATGGTTACTGGCTTGGAATAAGCTTCTACCAAATGAGGAGCGTTATAGGAGACACATGACGATGGATAGCCATTGTGTTGTCTGTGGTGCGATGGTTGAGTCGAACTTACACATTGTTCGGGACTGCGTGGCCGCTCGAACTGTTTGGAATGGTTTAATTAAAACAAAATTGCTGGAAATTCTATAGTCTGTCGCTAGAAGATTGGATTGAAAAGAATTTATCTCGACCTCAACACTTCACTCTTAACGCCGCTGACTGGGACCTCTTATTTGGCTTGATTATTTGGTGTTTATGGAACCGTCGAAGTCGAATTTTATTTGATGAAAATCATGTGTTTATAGACAGCGTTATAGTGCAAAGCAAGCAGATCCAATCAGAAGCACTAAATGCCATCGCCAATCGTCCGATTGGTGAAGCTATAAGAGAAAGCAATGTAAACCGGTCTTTCTCTTGGCAATTCCCCCTGAAGGATGGTGTAAAATTAATTCGGATGGTGCTCGCTGCAACGTAGATGGTTTTTCAACCTGCGGAGGTGTAATTCGGGACCATGAAGGAAGATGGATCGTGGGATATTCCAAAATCATTGGAAAGTGTTCGATTCTTGATGCGGAACTTTGGGGCATTTTTGAAGGACTATTGATTGCTTGGAATTTGGGATTGAACCCCATCATTATGGAAACATATATTAAAGAAGCTCTTAGCGAAATTACAGCTAGATCGGGATCGAGAAATGCATCTTTAATGACTCCCTTTATTATAGACTTGAGTAACAGATGATGGAGTTTGAAGTTCGTCTTTATACCAAGGGAGATGAATAAGGTAGTGGATAACATGGCGAGACTGGCATGGTCACAATCGGCAGTATTACAAATTTTTCGAACATCCTCTATTCTGCTATGGAGATTGAACTCTATTATTCACAAATTTTTTGAACTCCACCATTGCAGAATAGAGACAACTAGCTCTTGTGCTTATTTCTTATTTCATTAAAAAAATGAATAAAGTGAGTGAATATTCCCTTCGATTTAATATTAGACGAAATCATATTTATTATAATTGTCAATTTAACTTGTGATCATTAATATTAAGGGATTTCTGAATAATAGAGTTCAATCTCCATAGCAGGAGAAAATAATTTCCTTTTACACTTAACATTTGTAAAAATATTTTTCTAAAACTTTTATCTTTTAAAAATTTAACCCTAATAATTATATTTAGGATTAAACTACATTTTGATTCTAAAATTAACAATTAAAAAATGTTGTGAAACACCAATAAGAGTTGATTTAAGTGATAAACAGTTTGATATAACTTAAGTAGATATTAAGTTTGAAACTGTGTATTCAAAAAATCTTCGATAGGAGACTCACTAAAATTAAGTGTGCAATACAAATCGGTTCGAATTAATTAGGATAAAACCTTAAAAAAACCAAAAGTACACATAAAAAATGTTGTGAGTTAATTTTAAATGAGTGTATAATCTTAAAATGAAAACTAAAATAAATAAAAAAGATTATACTAGTGACGGCCCATAAAATTATTTATTTATTACTGTCTATATTTAAAATTTATAACGGTTTACTTTAATACTATAGTTTATAAAATATTATAGCCAACATTTGCTTGTTTAATTTAATTACTATATTGCTTCTTTTAAGAGAATTATAATATTGCTTTTAATTTCATCTATTATAATAACAAATATAGGGGAAAGAATTTAAAAAATCCCTTTATATATAAAAAGGGGGGAAATAAAATAAAATAAAAAGTTCGAACTAGCCGTTACCATAATTGAAGATCCCAAAAATATAAAACACGAAGGCCGCTCCTTTCTTTTCTTCTTTACCTTTCCTTTCTTGTACTACTTTCAGCTCCTATTTTTATTCCTTCCTGATCTTAGCCCAAAGCTCTCTCTTTCTCTTTCAGCTAATTTCTTTTCTAGTATACCTCTGATAATGTTCACTGAAGGGTTAGACGAATCTGCAATCAACTGGATCAACCAGGTTTCGTTTTGTTTTTCGTTTTTTGGTTTCACTTTAATTTTCAATCAAATTTGATTTTTTTTTTACTTCTTTTGCAGGGAAAAGAAGCAGATAAGGAACCCATAATTAGATCGCCATTGGCAGAAAAACTAGCGCTTCATGACTCATTCCCCAAATCCCCTCTTATTTACAACGCCGCCACTCTTTTATCTCCGCACGTTTTGCCTTCTCCTCTCAAATTCCGCTCCGGCTTACTTGGACCCCATAGTGTTATAGCTCCTGCTCTCGATGGCAGGGACTGCGAGGACGATGAAAGTGTAGGTTCTGTTTCCGATGATATATCTGGTGGAGATGCTGGGAATGTAAACTTTTCTGATGAAGATGACATGTTTGAGAGAACCAAGTGTAGCTCAAAGTTGACTAGAGGGTTTTCTAAGCTGGATTTGAAGGTTGAATTGCCTGACAATAATAGAAGATTTACTGATGGTGATTCGGGCATTAGAGATTTTGCTAAGAAAAATGTTACTTCCGCTGGCATTGGAGGGGGTGGTTTTGGACTCAGGGAACGAGTTCAAGTTCAAAATGCACATGTAAGGAATCTTCTGGCATGTTTTCTCTTTTATTTTGACTACTTATGTTTTTCTTCCCCTGTGTAAAAGCAGTGCATTGGAATAGGAAATTATGATTTTATTGCTGTTTGCAACAGACATACATGTCTAGATTGATGTAATACTTAAACAATCGGATATGGTTTTGCTTCTTTAACTTTATATAGGCTTTATTTTTATGATTGGTTTTGCTATGAATAAAAGATTATTTTGTTACCTCTGTAAAATGGCTAAAACTGTCTCTTTTCTGGGTTCTTTCCCTTTCTTGATGATGATTTTAGGGAACTGTTCGAGGTCAAGTTAATAATACATTTAAAGATGTTGAAGATTTGGGGACACCAAGTGCACCTCCCATATTGGATATTGAAAGAGAAGGAAGTGACATGGAGATGGAGGTTGAAGAAGAAATTGACCAAATTCAGGATAGAACCTACAAGCCAGTACAAGTAGATTGTTTTGATGGCAGTGAAAAAGAATTACCAGAATGGAAATCTCAATCCTTAAATGGCCCTGAACTTGGTGAAGAAAGGTGATCTAGTTTTTAGTTTCATTAGGCACAATTCACATGGAAGCCTCTCATGTCTTTTGACCTGATTATACTACTATTTCTAATATTTCTTGACATTGGCTTTTGCAGAGAAAATGAGATCGTGAATGGAGACAAAGAAGAAAGGATCCCTTACTGGCAAAGTAGCATGCCCGATGACTTGCATCATTATAACACCAGGTGCAATCTCTATTAAAGTTCTAATAAATATAAAGCTGATGTTTGTAAAAAATTTTAGGTAGTAAACCACTAAATCTTACGTTCTTTATTTTGTAATTCTATTACTCCAGTGGCCAATATGCATGGCAGACTTTAATTGCTTATGATGCATGCATCCGCCTGTGCTTATATGCATGGGCTAGAGGCTGCCCTGAGGCACCTGAATTTCTGCGCGATGAATGCCTTCTACTACGGAGTGCGTTTGGGTAGGTTCCTTCTCTTCTTTTGACCTTAAAGTTGTCCCATTAACCTTTCAAAGATTTCTCAATTTTCTGTATTTAAATTCATAGGCTACACAAGTTTTTGTTGCAACCACGAGGTGTACAGCCAGTAGAAGTTAGAACTAGTAAGAGTGTAGAACAAGTTTCATTAAAGGCAAAGAAGGTCGTTGGAAAAATAAGAGTGGAAGGTAAGGTCAATATTTTTATGGCAATTGTATATAAAAATTTGATTCTAGGAAGGATGGATGGGCTATGGAATTATTGCTCTTTATAATAGATTTATCATCATGTAATTACTTGTGGCTTTATATTAGTTTTGAACATGTCATTGGATAACTTCTTTTAATTTAAAACCTAAGTTGCCTGTGCTGGATAATTGCAGTGAAGAAACTTCGGATAATTCCAAGGAGGAAACTTAGGAGTATGTATTCACAGCGAAGTACAATGTACATGCAAGTGGGAGCGGAGTATGTGCGACGGGTCTCATCACTTGTGAAAACTGGCATGAATTCTCTTAAAATAGCCTCTTTTTCAGTGGCATCTGAAGGTTTGTGGTTGTTCTGATATAATATTTAATGTATTTTAGTTATTTTACAACTTTGAGCTTAAGATGAAACTGATATGGAGAAGCTTAAATTTGACCGTAGCTGCTTTTTTGGAAGGTATGCTTAAGCTGATTAAACACTTATAACAGCTTAACTATTTTATGGCCGATAAAAATCTGCCTACCTCCTAAGGAGAATGTTTCAGGATTTCTTCTTCTCTTCACTAATACATGGACTAAACGCTGTATTGAAATTCCATTCCATAATGTTCTGACATAACTAATATGTTGTTTTTCATATTTCCAGAGCCACTATCATGCTTATTCCAGCTGAAGAGTGCTACAGAAGATACCAAAGTTGAACCAAGTTCTTCCATCTGCTTGCACCCAGGGAGCAGTGATTATCATGTCTTGTGAGTTGCTATCGTATATCTAAGACTTAGGATAGTACTTTGGCGGACAGCAAGTCTATCATAACTCAAGCAATAAGCTAGTCTTATGCATCCCATGTCATAACTGATCTTGATATCTTGCCATGTCTGCCTAAGTTAGCATAGCTTGGATATGTAAATGAGAGATCACATCTGTGATGAGAGTTATGCTTTCAATGGTAGAAAAATCTTATACTTGCACGTGCTTTCAGTTTCCCAGAGACTGAAGGTGATGCTCTTTTGCTGGAAGTCCAAGACAAGAAGAAATTAGTCCAGGGCCGAGCAACAATACCAGTTTCATCTTTAAGTGATAATCCTGTATGTATCGTTATCTATCTTCTAATCATCTTTTAAAGGATAAATATCATCCATCATGATCCGATGTGGTCTTCTATCTGTGCAGAATGAGAGAATCAGATGGTGGCCCATATACCATGAGGATGAAGAATGTGTCGGGAAGATCCAGCTATCTATTGGAAGTACAATTACTTGCGATGAGACAAGTCAGATAAAGGTATATTTTCCATGTCAAGGACAATTCAATTGACTTGATTCTATTTGGTGATCGGTGATAAGAGAACTAGATATGCTGTATGGAGTAGATCAAATTATGGCTCCACTTGTCCTTTCCTAAACCAGAATTATGTTATTCCTAATGACATTACAGATTTCCATTTTCTACATTAAGAATTTTCTTTCACATGTGTCGACAGTTGTGTGGAGTTGGACTAAATTGTTTAAGTACGTCAATTAGTATCTAAAACATACAAGTGAGTATGCATGAGTACATTTCACCTACTGTGTTTTTCATCTTTTAGAGTGGGCCTGTCGTGGAGACTCTAGCCTACGATTTACTCCTTGAGGCTTCAATGCGTGCACAACGTTTTCATTCCAGAAACTTGAGGTTACAGGGACCATGGCAGTGGTTATTGACTGAGTTTGCAGACTACTATGGAGTTTCTGATTCATATACAAAATTGAGGTATGTAATTCTACTTATTCATATACTCCTTGCTATTTCCTTGTTATGCTTTAACTCTTTTTTTTCTTCTCGTAGATATCTATTACATGTCATGAATGTAGCCACACCAACAAAAGACTGCTTAGAGCTTGTAAATGAGTTGCTTGTACCCGTTTTAAAGGCCAGGAATGAAAAAAGCTTGACAAGACAGGAGGTTGGTATCTCTGGCTATTGATTGCTTCATATTTTCTTTTAAAATGATGAGAGAGGTTCTTTTGAAGCATCAATTGTGTTACAAATAATGCTAAATTATATTTAAGTTGCAAAAACTTTTATTGACATAAATGATCAAAATCTCTTGCGTTGGTTTATTCGACCCTGAATGCTTAATTTTGGTGAATAAAAACATATCACTATTTTGTATACGACAAATTTAAATATTAATGGATTTCCTAATATTGGAAGTATGGCACATTTGATTGCGCTGCTTCCATTCATTCTGAAATGAAAAGTGTTGCATATTTTCATGCTTCAGAAAATTTCTACATAATCTAAATGCTTCACTGAGATGACTCATCTGCATGCTCTCTTGCAGAAAAGCATACTGCTGGGTTGTGAAACACAAATTGAGAGCCTTTTGGCAAATGCTTTTGAAAACTATAAGTCTTTGGATGAGAAATCTCCGACAGGGCTAGCTGATTTGTTTGGACCAACCCAGGAGACCGCAGCACCAGCTCTAGCTCCTGCTGTTCAAGTATACGCTCTGCTTCATGATATACTATCTCCAGATGCTCAGACTACGTTGAGAAACTATTTGCAGGTAATTGCAATTCTTTAGTAGTGACTAAACAAATCTATCACACAGAATATATCAATTGCTATAATTTGGACAATGTTGATGTGACAAGGGTTCATTATCCTCAGCAAGCCTAGCATTCTTTTTTGAAGGCTACCTATTGGACCTGTTAACTTGTTTGATTCACTAAATTCATTAAAATTACTATATGTGTTCAATAGAAAGGAAATATTGTCATGCATGCATTAATGGGACATCCCCTTTTAACTCTTATTTTATTAAAATATCATATAAGCAACTGTATAATGGTAGTGATTGTAACGTTTTGCAGACTGCAGCCAAAAAAAGGTGTAGGAAACACATGATTGAAACCGATGAGTTTGTTTCAAGCAACTCCGAAGGTTTTCTCTTGGACCCCATTACCATTTCAACAGCTTATCTGAAGATGAAGAATCTGTGTATAAATATTAGCAAAGAAATTCAGGCAGATATCAAAATCCACAATCAGCACATACTGCCCAGGTAATGGCATAGTTTTTTGGATGAGAATACCATGCGAGGTACTAACATATCTCATGTTATGATAAATCATAAAAACTGTTTCACAATGCCAATTCACCCCCCCCGGTTATATCATATATGGTAAAAAATCGGTTATCTTCTTTGTTTTAACTTTCAGTTAATAGCAACTTTGAACAAAAAGAATTAGCGACTAAATCAAATTTATGTAGCTTTCTTTTTTCTTTTTGAAGGTAAATTTATGTGGGTCTGAAGTTGTAAATATCTCCACTTCATACTTCTTAAATACGTAGTTATTAACTGATGTATCATGTCTTCTGACATATATGCTTCTTCTCCAGTTCAATTGACCTGTCAAACATCACAGCTGCAGTATATAACACTGAGTTGTGTAAGAGGCTTATTGGTTTCCTTGCTGCATCGCCTCCATCTTGTCCTGCACCACATGTTAATGAACTTTTGATTGCAATTGCGGATTTCGAGAGGGATCTTGAGTCATGGAACATCAGGTTTGTGAAGAGTTTTTTTTATATCCCTTCATATGAATAAAATACTTTAATTTTTCCAAGAAATGGCCACTAGAGGTTGTATGAGTATCTAAACTTTGGATTATGACCTCTTTCTTACACATTATCTTGCCTGTTTCAGTCCTGTGCAGGGTGGAGTAGACTCAAGGAGTTTGTTCCATGATTACATAATGGTGTGGGTAGAGGATATGCAGCTTAGGTTACTCGATCTTTGCAAGGCTGAAAAGGTATTGCTTGACCTTTTTCATAAATTTTACTTAATCTGATATGAATATGATGATATTTAAAGAAGTAAAAAACAAATAATCTTCTCTGGGTACATAAATCAAGTACATTCATTATCAAGGATCTGGAATAGCTTACCTTGAACTCTTGAATATGGAACTTTGGGACATAATCAGGTGCCTTGGTCGGGAGTAACAACAAACCATTCAACTTCACCTTTTGCTGAAGAAATGTATGAGAAGGTAAAAGATTCCCTTATTGGATATGAAGTAGTTATCAACCGGTGGCCTCAGTACTCGTTGGTCCTGGAAAATGTAATTTCCAACACTTCCTTTTGCAGTTTTTGTCTTTGAACATGTGTGTGTCATTTTTTCATCAACTGACCGTTGCGCATAATTTTGGTTAATGTGAAGGCTGTTGCCAATGTGGAAAGAGCCATTGTTAAAGCACTGGAGAAACAATATAATGACATCTTGACTCCTTTGAAAGATAGTATTCCAAAAAGGCTTAATATGCATGTCCAGAAGCTGACACGAAGGCAGTCGACAGCTCTATATTCAGTTCCCAGCCAAGTGAGTGCACCATAATCAATATAATTAAACTCCAGTCTATTTGCTCAGATGTGAATATATTCTTGCATATCCTAATTTAGTTGTTGTTAATGGTGGCAGTTAGGAATATTCCTCAACACTGTCAAGAGAATTGTTGATGTCTTGCATTGTAGAGTGGAGGAGATCTTAAAGTCTTGGGCATCCTGTCTGCCTCTCACCGGAGACAAGAAGTCGCTGTTTGGAGAGCAGATGAACGGGATCACTGTCATGTTGAGAACAAAGTACAAAAATTACTTGCAGGCAACGGTGGAGAAGCTTGTTAACAATGTAAGTCCTATTTAATTTGATTTACTTGACAAATTTGTCATAAACAATTTATAGTCAAGATGTTGGGATTAGTTCTCACTCACCTTTGTTCCATGTCCATCTTTGAGCATTTCATCATGAAAAAGAAAACTATTATAATTAGAGCTTAATGACTGTTTCAGACGCAAGCTAATCGAAATACAAGACTGAAAAGGATACTTGAGGAAATAAAGGAAGAAGATGGAGAGGCTGAGATCCGTGAGCGAATGAAGATGCTAAGTTTGCAACTGATGGACTCTATATCTAACCTACATGAGGTCTTCACAAGTTGGATATTTGTAGCGGCATGCCGTGGATTTTGGGATAGGATGGGACAGGTGAATGAGAAACTTTTAGATCTTTTTAACTTAGCTTTGTCTTGTTTCTGACATGTTTTCAATTAACTAATTTTACCAGATTGTACTGAAATTTCTCGAAGGAAGGAAGGAAAACCGAGTGTGGTATAATGGATCATACTATGCTCTTGGGGTAAGTCATCTACTCGACAACGTCCAAATTTATTCTTCTACGTGTGCATGCTAATGAAATATTATTTGCAAACATGGTCTTTTCTTAATGCTGAAATATTACATGGACTCGGGTGATTGTCGGATACCGATGTGTTCTACCCAAAATAAAGAACCCGGATTTGCAGTAATTATGGTTTAACGTTCCTATGTCTTCCCCTTTGTAGATACTGGATGATACCTTTGCATCCCAAATGCAGAGGTTGCAAGGAAACCTGCTCCAAGAAAAAGATGTTGAGCCGCCTCGTTCGGTAATTGAAGCTCGGTCTATCCTCTGCAGAGAACCGGCTAATGCAACGGATGCATCCACCTACTTCTATGTTTAATTACAACTCATACTCCTGCATCAGCTGCAGTACCAAAGATTTTGTCAATATATACGTACAGCACAAAGACAAAGACCTGCAATTGATATATTCTTTTCTGTATACGTTATGTAATACCCAGATGCTGCTGAAAAACGCTCTCCGTAGTTCTTACCTGTGTTTTTCATATTCAAAGCTTCTTGTATTCTTTCTGATTGAAATTACAATGAAATAATAACAATGCCTCGGCTCATTTTATATCAAAACATGAATCAATTCAAAAGTGTAGTAGTGAATGAAAATTAATAAATTCCTTATACTAAAGGATTACAACTGTTATAAATTGGATTTTTATTGAATTTTTTAATCGGTCCAAATTGTTATTTTGTTTCTACAAGATTTTAACTTAAATTTAGTTATAAAAATATAATTTACATTTTTTCATTATTTTAAATATTGAGTTTCTCTTAAAGTTTAGGAATGAAATGAAACTAACTATAGTGCAAAGTAAATGTTTTTCTTTTTGTTTCCAACACTTCTTTTCTTCAATAAATACCAAATCATCAAATTAAAATTATCATAAATTACTAGATAAGACTTAAGGGTGCGTTTGGTTCACGGAATGTAAGATTACCAATGGGAATAAAAGATTACCAGGGAATAGGATTACTGGGAATGTTGTATTTTGTGTTTGGTTGGTTTAGCAAGAATGTAAGATTACCGTGTTTGGTTAAAGGAATAAAAAAATTATTGGAATGTATATTTGACCAAATTGTCCTTATTATATATTTGTATAATATTACAAATTGTAAAATATTTATATATTTTCTTTAAAAAATTAAATTCATAATATTTATATAATTTTTTTTTACAAAATATAAAATATAAAAAAGGTTTAATAAAATGGTAAAATTTTTTAACCCCTGAACTTCATATAAAATTTTAATTATAGATTTTTTTTGTAAATCTAAAATAATTTAAGGATAAATTTGTAATTTAACATTCGTAGAATTTTTATTATTCAATGACAGAAGAATGATATTTTTGAAAATAAAAATAAAAATTTAAGGGCATTTTAGTCCAAAACGTCGGTAATGTTACAATACCTAAGGGAATGGAGATAATGACATTCCTGGTAATATACCCCAAAAAATCTACTATTGGTAATAAAACATTACCGGGAATGAGATTCCCGACCAACCAAACATGGGAATGTGAGATTCTCATCCCATGAGAATCTCACAATCCTTGAACCAAACACCCCCTAAGTGTATAAATATTTCGAAAAAGTAAAAACGTTTTTACAGAAATACATTTTTTTAAAACTTTTCAGAGACTCTATGTGCGATTTTCAACGCAAGAATAATATTATTCTAAAAACAGAAATTAGAAAGTGTCTTTTTGTGGTGACGTTGGAGGAGTGGGTAGATAGCCGCTTGGTGTGATTCCTTAGTCGTTTGTTCCTTTTTCTCTCTTATTCTTTTTTGTCATACAATGTAGAAGGACAATGATTTGTTATAAGTTGAGGGTTTAATGTTTGATTCTTCATGTTTATTCTTCTTGATTTCTTGTCATGTCTAACAGTGAATCCATGTTTATTATTTTCGTGTTTGGTCCTTTTAGTAAAACAATATATATATATATATATATATATCAATTTTAATTTGTGTTTGAAAGGGGGAAAATGCACCGTAAAAACACTGCCTAAAAACACGTCTTGTGGACCGATGGAAGGAATACTTGGTAAGATAGGTTTTCTATTTGATATATGACTAAGTGGTATCTAAAAATATAGGTTGGCATTGGAAATGCATCAACTATAGCAGCCGATGTTGGCTTTGATAATTACAGTTTTCCCTCTTTAATCGACTCTTCCTCGAGTAAAACTAGCTACTAGCGTTAATGGATTAATGTGAACATCAAATATTTCAACAATATTGTTTCTTGTCTTTTTATTCTGCAAAGAGTCTGGTCGAGAAATAAAGTCAAGTGATTCGACTTTAACCCTACCCAAGTTGCTCGTATTTTAGTTTCATAGAAGAAAATCAAGGCCAAGTTTCTAACACAAGACCGTTTCTACACAGAAGACCCAGATGGATGTCTGGTCTGGTCTACCCTGCCAGCCTGCCATGAAGTTTCTAAATTTTCGTTCCCGTTGAAAAAGAATATGAGAGGTTCACATTTACCTATCTTTGTCTATGCAAGGCAATATAGAAAACTATGCTTGGCATTGATGAAACCATAAATGTGAAACTAAACAATGAAGAAGAAGCATAGTAACGCGGTTGTGTTTTCCCTGCTTCTCGTCTCTGTACTTTTATCAATGCCGAGTTGGGGGCCTCTGTTAGTTGAGGCAAGAATCTCTAATTTCTTAGCTATCCAAGGTTTGCTTTGTTGTTTCTTTTTCTCTATGTTTAATTCCTTATTATATAGTTCAGGCGACTTCAATTTGTATCAAATATTTATGATGATTGTCCTTTGAACACCTAATGACAGAGAATCTAATCCGTTTAAGTTCGACACGTCGGAATTTGGGCCGAGGAGATCCTCCAGTACTGAACCGTAGCCCGATGAGGGCCGCACCGTTTCATCATGACTAAGGCGGCGTCTGATCAAACCAGATCCTCCAGCCAGGAACCCTCCCACAGTGGACACGCCCGTACTCAGAATAATAACCGTGCATGATATGCAATTAATTTATTCTATTAATATTGTCGTGTTAATATATTTTCTTTTGTTATAATTATATTCAAGAGGTTATATTTTATTACTATTTTCATTATTATTATTATTATACCATGTTAGTATTATTTTGATATTAACAAATATGCAATTAAATTATAATAAAATATATAAAAACTGATTTATAATAACTAATTGTTAATGTTATATATGAAAATAATTTATAAAATTAAATTCGAATATAGAAATTATATTTATAATTTATAGTTAATATAAATGAAAGCTGAATTTATAATTTGACGTCTAATGGGAAGCTTAAAACTGTATAGCTATGCCAAACTCAACTACCATCACCAATGGAAATATATATATATATCTGATTACCAGAGGATAAGGTTGACAGAGTAGAGACCTCCAAGGTAGAAAATTTTGGCCAATCAGCCAGTTCTTCAACATTAAAATATTATTATACTGCCTAAAAATATACATCACATTTGGAAATTACTTCAAATACAAAAAGTAAAGCTGGTGGAAGTAATATGCCTTTGCATTACTTTCTCGAGAATAACCAATGCAACAGTACCTGTACTTAGAAGCAAACTTCCTCAGATTACAGTTCCACTGGGAATCAAGGCATCCTTGATTACTGTCACAATCCCACTCTTAATGAAATATCCGTCCGTTTCCCTTGCTGCTTCTTGTACATTGTCACTGTTAATGATCTGAAAAAGAGCGACATTCTTTGTCAGCATTTTAACCTTGAAAATCCAATAAATATGGATCAACTACATGGGATTAAATGTTCTTGAAGTTGTTTTAGAAATAAAACTTCATTCAATTTAGAACTTTGTACTGACAATTTCATCAGAAATGTAACAATCAATGCCAAATCAAGGGACAGGTCAGACTGCAGAGGAGAAGAATTTTTTATTCTGGCTAAAGTTCCATGCAGAAGAACACCAAGGAGAGAATTTAACGAATGATCAGTGAAACTCATCTCTTTCCAAGGGTTTAATTACTATGCTGAGACCATAAATAAATCATAGTAAATTAATATAAACTAAATAAATAAAAAACCAACCTTCACATTGGCACCAATTCGAGCATTCTTGTCAATAATGGCTCTCTTGATGTGTGAATTCTTTCCAATGCCAATTGGAACGCTGCCCTTTGCAGCAAGTAACTCCCTGTCAGCATCAGTCTGGATGAAGAAAATGAGAACAGATTATCGTGGGTGCAATGGTATAATGTCAAAAAAACAATAGAAAACAAAGCACTCTCAGGCTTTACTACCTCATAATAATCTGCTCCCATCAGTAAGGTATCTTCTATGATTGCGCCCTCGGAAATGCAAGAACGAAGACCAACAACAGAATGATAGATTTTACAATTCTGCAATCAACCAAAACACCAAGATGTTCAACTCTCATAAATTATCTAACTTCCATTTATCATGTGAACATTAGAATCAACACCAAGTCAACAACCAGAAAAGCTAGGCAGGCTATTGACCTAGCCCCAAGGAAATCACCTTGATAACACAACCCTCACCAATAACACTATCTGTAACATCGGCATCAAGCATTTTGGACGGAGGCAAATATCGAGGCTGGGTGTAGATTGGAGATGAACGGTCGTAAAAGCTAGGAAGTAAGATCAAAACCATAAAGGTAAATAATTTTATCATCAATCTAGTAAAAATAATAATGCATTGATGAACTAAAACAACCTGAAATCAGGCACGGGCTTTTTGGTAATTCCCAGGTTTGCATTATAAAATGCCTCAATCGTACCAATGTCCTCCCAGTAGCCATCATATAAGTAAGCTTGCACCTACATTGGTTTAAAACCAATTAGACCTCAAGAATAGGTATATCTCAGTTAAGTAAGAAAAAAAACATGGCAATATAAATAAACTCCATCATGCATAAAACTATAACACCGAGCATCAATCCAGAATACATTAAAATGTTATGGTATGGTGCAAGTGATGCTTCCAGTTTCTGTCAAGCTGCTCGTAACATGAATGTATATGCTGGAGATAATCTAATTGTCTATAACTGTTCATTTCCATAAACAAGAGGTGAGATGAACTGCATCCAGATTGTTCAACTACTTTTAATGTATGCTAGTGCTGCAGGTGTTGGTATATAAAGAAATGCCAGATAAGAAACCACAAATATCAAGCTGCTTTCTGCCAACAAAACAAGAATGGTTGCTATAAATTGAAACATAAAGAAACAAGCTACTTTAGTTTTCAGATAAGCTCTCCTATAAGATTAGTTAGCTTAATAAGGTAAAGCCGTACATATGGAGAAATGTACGAAAAGAATACTTACCCTCATCCCAATGGAAGTAGCACCTGGAATGACTTCACTTCCAAAATCATTGGCACCTGGAAATTTTTCTCGAAGAAGACTCAACATCGCATTTTTACTAACAACATATATGCCCATACTAGCAATGAACGGCAATTCTTTTGCTCTCTCATCATCAAGACCTAAAATTGTTGTATCAACCTAAAACAGCATTATCAAAGTCAGAACCAGAAAACAGTAACAGCTTTTAAGTTTTAACTCAAGACTGAAATACTTCATGCGAAATTCTCATCCAAATGAAGATTGTAGTCTACCTTCATAGCTTTAAGTTGGTCCCCTTTCGGTTTCTCAGCAAATTCAATTATCCGCCCTTCTTCATCAATCTTCATCAGACCAAATGCAGTAGCCCGTTTTTCATCCATTGGCAATGCAGCTACGGTGATATCAGCATCGGTCTCTCTATGCCCTTGAATAAATTTTTCATAATCCATTCTATATAAATGGTCCCCAGCGAGAACCAAGAATTCCATGACATCATGCTCCTCAAACAGCCACAAATACTGCCTTACGGCATCCGCAGTCCCCTGTACATTCAAACTCAGTGGCAACTCAAAACCCAAGAACAACATACAAAATTCGAAACCCACTTCAGTGAAACAATTTACAACTAACCTGAAACCAATTTGGGTTCTCAGGACTCTGCTGAGCAGCAAGAACCTCGACGAACCCTTCATTCTTGTAACCACCCATATTACTTGCATATGCGCGGGAGAGATGGCGATTGAGAGAAGCAGAATTGAACTGGGTGAGAACGTAGATTTTGGATATGTTACTGTTCAAGCAATTACTAACAGGAATATCAATTAGCCTATAATTGGCTCCTAATGGAACAGCCGGCTTAGCTCTCTTCTTTGTTAGTGGGTAAAGCCTTGTCCCTGCTCCGCCTCCCAAAATAATCCCCAAAACACTCTGCCAAAAATATATACATATCAAATTTACCAAACCTTTCATCAAAATGTATAACGAATAGCTAAGTTCTTTGAGCACGTTTCCATTTACCGGAGCTATCGATGCGCAACGTGTGGTGTAACATCAAAAAGATATGATAGAAAATCAGACAAGAGGTATGAGCAAGTGATAGAATGATAAACAAAAGCTTACTCGACTAGCGTCAGGGTCGAGACATGTCTGCGAGTTCTGGGAATCGGAAACGGCTTTCGGGGAAACAATCAATGGTGTTCGTTTCAATTGACGGGAAGAGGTAACCGTTTTGGAAACGAGCTTGTCACCAGAAAGAGCAGAAGCGGAGAACGATAAGCTACAAGAAGCTGGAGATATACAGCTCGAAGACGAAATGGAAGAAGCACTGGAAGAGGAAGGGAATTTCAAAGTAACTATTGAAGCCATGCTCGGAATTACTTAGCTTAATGAAGGATCTGAAACTGAATGGGAACTAACACCTTTCCAGAAGGAAGATCTGAAATTGATGGAAAGTCGGAATGGAACTACCTTGTTCAGTTGTTCTGGTAAGATTACGAGCAAGAAGTTGGGGACTGAGTATCTGTTGCCTTTCTGAGATGCTATATCTATTAAATTTTGTATCTTGTGAGCGAAAAATCAGTATAATTGGTGGTTGTCATTTCACAAATAATGAAAAATCATATTTGTTTATTTAAAATATAATTATTTATTCAAATATATATACATACATATAATTATTTAATATAGTTCTTACTCAACATAAGTTACAAGAAAATGTAATCATTAAATTTTAATTATACCTTTCACGTAATTACAAACAATTCTAATTTGTGAGTTTTATTTTTTTATTTTTTTATTGGTACAATTCATATTTCATACTGATTTAGTAAATATTTGATCACATCAAGTCGAATAAAAAATTGAATTACTCGAACATATGAATATCATTTAATCATTCAAAATTTATTTTTTAAATATATTTATTTAAATTTAAATATAATTATTTATAACTATTTCTAAAAATATATATATACATGTGAGTAAGATTTGCAATGTTGTTAAATAAGGCAAATATCTTCTAAAAGTGTTTTCATATACTCGTGTTATTTTTTAAGAAGATATTTTAAGTATAAAATACTGACAAGAGTATAAATAAGTTAAGAAATTGATAGAAAGAATAAAGTATAAAATTAAGGGATTAAATTATAAAAAAAATGAATGTCAAAAAGAGAAATTGAAGCAAGTATTCTTAAATGATTGAATAGTATTGGTTCAAATTTGATCAAAAATATATTTAAAACTATATTTAGAACGGAAAAGAAATTCGAGAAACAAAAAAAAAATAAGAATCAAATCATAAAGCAATCAAATTACTTAACTAAATATCAAAACTACTTCGTTTTTAGCTATTCGAACTTTCCAAATTCAGACTGAAATTAAACTTAAAATTCAAATCATAAACCAACATTGCATCAATTGTTAAGCTTGATGGTATGGTTTCTTAGAACTTTCTATTCCCCTCCTTGATATGGCAGGTATGGTAACATCGAAACTATATCGTCCTCAACCACAGCTGTATGCACATTGATGGTGTGCTTTGCCAATGCCTCAGCTGGGCTCATTATTTTACGGAATGTCTGGTTTATGGTCTGATATGAATCGAAACAAAGTTTAGAGACTAAATTAAAAAAATGTCAAATTTAGGGACTAAAAAGTTACTTTATCCCTATATAAAAATATCATAGTGAATCAATTCGGATGACAAGAGGTCACTATGAAAACAATATGATCAGAATCCAACAGCAAAACTAAAAGAACATAAAAATCCGAAATCAAAGCACGGAAAAGTTGAGTCTCAAAACTCGATGCAAAAAAAAAATCAGCTGCAGCAACCGCCTGCCGGAGAAGCTGAATCATCTCTACCACCAGACAAACCACCGCCAGTTTGATTTCCAAGTTTTATACCATACGACTGCACCAATGCAGTACTGAAAGTTAATAATGATTCAATTTGGACTTAGGGAGACGGTTGAAATTGCAGGGTAAGCATTACAAAACTAACCTCATTAGCTATGTCAATGACTCCATCCTGAATCTTCTTGTAGATATTGGCAGCTGTGCTTATGAATGCCTGCGGCAATTTCGGGCTATGAATATGGAACGGAACGGCCAAAGACAAGGAATAAAATAACCCTATTTATACTCGTTGTCTATAAAGTATTTTCAAGCATTCCTAAGCTTGACAAAAGTATTTTATAATCACCTCTTCAACATTTTGAGCCGTTTTTGCAGAAGCCTCCATGAATACCAGCCCATGTTCTCTGGCGAATTGTGCGCCTTCCTCTGTGCTCACAGCCCTTCTATGAGCCAAATCGCACTTGTTGCCAATAAGCATAACGGTCATGTTAGCATTCGCATGCTGCCTTGCATCCTCCAACCAGCTAGCCAAGTGATTGAAAGTCTCCCTCCTGATCATTAATCATTTATGCACGCAGAGAGTGCTATTATTGCAGACAATAGTACATGTGAAATTGTTTTGGTGAACAATATATGCATGTAGAAGAATGTATGAGAGAAAAGATTGGTAACTTCATGGACTTAACTAACGAGATCTTAAATGAAAGAATATTACCTAGTTATATCGTAGACTAGAAGTGCACCAGCAGCCCCTCGGTAGTAAGACCTTGTAATTGATCTGAATGACTCTTGGCCTGCCTGATGAAACAAAGAAAATTCATCATCCACAATATAAAAGAAACAGGTTTCATATTTTAAATGGCTTAAGCAAGGATTAATTATGATGGACATAACAATCAACAAGTATAAAAATGTCGCGAAAACTTGGAATCATCAGTGGGAGTTTGCTAGAGCATACAAAGTTCCAGTGCACTAATCTTAAATTACCCTATTTAAGAGCATTATAAGACCATATTACTTTAAACTAAAACATTCAGACGCTAAGAAAAAAGGGGTAAAACAAACCGTGTCCCAGATTTGAAGCTTTATTGACTTGTTGTCGATGGAAATCATTCTGGCTCCGAATTCGACGCCAATGGTTAAATCATGAACGGGCTGAAACCGTTTGTCAGTGAATTGCAAAAGAAGACATGATTTCCCAACTGCTGCAGAAACGAAAAGGATTCACTCATGTTAGCAGCACGTAGCTATAGCACATACATTCTGAGACTTCAACGTAGGGAGCAGCACTAACATAATGTCATTTGGAAACAATACTGCAAAAATGTTCTAGTAAATGTTGAGTATCATATGCAAAAATGCTTCTTAGGGATCAATTTCACCTTTCGTTGTCTCAACATTTGAAATACTACACATTGTCATGATTAATAAAGGAATTAATGGCTTAATCAGATCATACAAATGGTAACAATGCACCCTTTAGCTCTGTAATTGGAAAATACAAGCTCACTACCAAAGAGGTCGACAATTGCCAATAAAATTTTCCCAGAAAATTCAGATGATGTTGCCTAACAAAACCAAACTTTTCAAATTTCCCATAAATTTGAAATTTCAAGAAACAATCAGAAAACATATGAGAAACAACCCAGATATCCTATTTCCATAAATACAAAATCTAACAACTCGCGGAAGAAATCGTACCAGTATCTCCGATGATAATGTACTTGAAAAGGTAAGCGTACGACATTGTTTCTGACGGTATTTGAACAAACCCCAATTACCCAAATCCTGTACTTTGGTTATGTAAATGTATGATTAAGATCTTGCAGACAACATATTTTGATTTTATATTACCAAAAATAAAACTTCAAAAAATGGTTTCAATTGTGTTAAGCGTGTGCGAAGCATGAAAGTGTTGAAAAAATAAAAGGAATTAAACGAGCTTAATGATCCCTTTCTTCCCCATTTGTGTTCTTCCCTCAAACATTGCAATTCTTTTTCAATTAAAAAAAAATCTAGTAACAGAACGAGCGTTTTAAAAATTAAAAAAATCCTACACTTAACTAGATTTATTATTATTTTTTAAATAAAAGAAGTGATTAAAATATGATATCTATTTATAATTTTCTTAACTATTAACGCATATTCTGCTAACATAATTTTTTAAATCGTAATTATTTAAATTTAAGTTGTTAAATTTATCAAATATTTATATATATGATCAAAATAGTTATTAAAAACACGTAGTATATCTTGACAATTGTGAACGGAATAAACTAGATTGAGAGAGTCATCTCCTCCTCTACTATCTGATTTAGACTAATCGATCAATAGATCAAATATCGATAGTTATATAAACAACTATATAATGTAATATAGATCAAGGTTCATTAAAGGAAGAATAAATAGTATTAAATTAGTGTTTAAATGATGATAAAATCAAGGATTAATTTTTTTCTACGAGACTTTATTATCATTTTGCTGGATCTACTTTAACATATTTTCTTTATTTATTTATTTATTTATTTATTTATTGGATTGTTTTAAACTGTCCATTTTTAAATTTTCACTCTATTTTTTTCTTTTTCATCTTTGAGAATTCATGATATTGCAGACGAGATAAATTTAATATTTTTTATAAAAATTGTTCAAAATTTTTAATCTTTTTTATTATTATTTTTTAAAACAATTTATCATTTACCATTTTATAACTTGTGTTATTTTGATTTTTTAAAATTTTAATTGTCTTTTTTAATTTTTTAATAATTTATTTTTATTTTTTAATATTTATTTTTTAAAATATTTAAATAATTTTTATATTTAAAATTTATATAATTTTTATATTTAAAATTTAAATAATTTTTTATTTTAATAAAAATCAAAATTTATAAAAAAAATCAATTAAATCATTAAATTGTCTAAAAAATCAATTAAGTTTATGTATCACATCATCATGTGAAAGGCTGCAGCTCTAGATCGAGTGTGATTGCTGTTTCAATTTATCCTCTTCCATGGTGGAGAGGTCGATGTTAATTTAAAATTCTTATTAAATTTTTATTGATTAAAGAATTATATTAAAATTTTAATTTAAAGAATCTTATTAAATATAAAATAAGCTCAAGAATCATTTTTTTTTAATTTAAGAGTATACGAAATTGAAAGCAACGTGGTGGTTCAATTTAAGTTTCCATCGTACAGCTACAGCTACAGCTAATGCTACAGCCTTTAATTGTCCTGACATGATGACAGTAAACAAGGCTGTAATCCACGTGTTAAAATTGATTATGGTTGAATTTTAAAAATAGTTTTATTGTATTATTTCCCATCTGTCATATTATATCTACCAGTGTTTCCCTGAAATCTGGAAAGTGGGAAGCTTTAGAAGATTTAGAGGCTAAACAGTATTGAGACGTATCTATCACCATGTCGAAAAAATCTAAACTCTCACCAAACCTACCATGGAATGTTCGGCTTTTCGTGTCCGTCATGTCATTTGGCGTCGATATGTGTCGACGCACCAATTTCACTGTCAATCGAACTCTTATGAGCCTATTTGACCCCAAATCCTATGCTTCCAAGAACCCCGTCAACGGCGTTAAATCATCTGATATCGTCGTCGACAGTTCCTGCGACATTTGGTTTCGTCTCTACACACCCACCGGCACCGGCACCGATGCGCGTGAATCAGCTGCTTTTCCAGTCATAGTCTTTTTCCATGGTGGAGGTTTTGCGTTCATGGCTCCCAATTCCAAGCCTTACGACGATTTCTGCCGAAGACTCGCTGGAGAGTTTACGGCGATTGTTATCTCCGTTAACTACCGTCTTTCTCCGGAGCATCGGTGCCCTACCCAGTACGAAGACGGCCTCAAAGTATTGAAGTTCATCGACGATGTGAACCAGTGGGCGGAAGGTGCTAATGCAAACCTGAAACACTGCTTTATCGCGGGAGACAGCGCCGGGGGGAACTTGGCCCATCACATTGTAGTCAAAGCTAATGAACACAAATTTCGCAACTTGAGACTGATTGGGATGATAGCAATACAACCATTTTTTCGGCGGAGAAGAAAGGACCGAATCCGAAATCCAGATGGAGGTAGCTCCGTTCATTTCAAGGGAGCGTTCAGATTGGCTTTGGGAGGCGTTTTTGCCAGAAGGGTCAGACAGGGACCACCCGGCGGCGAACGTTTTCGGGCCTAACGGCGAAGATATTAGCGGCGTGGATTATCCGGCGACGATAGTGTTCGTAGGAGGGTTCGATCCATTGAAAGACTGGCAAAAGAGGTATTACGAGGGGTTGAAGAAAAGTGGGAAAGAAACGTATTTGGTAGAGTATCCGAATGCCATTCATACATTCTATGCTTATCCTCAACTACCGGAAACATCTTTGTTCATGAAAGAGACGAGAGATTTTATGAAGAAGCAACAGGAACAGAACATGTGAAACTTCAAGGTCAAAGAATTATTAATATGCAATAAAATTATTATTATTAGTGTTATTATTATTATTATGCGAATATTTAATAAAAGTATATATTTATGAATAAAATACAAATTTAGTATCCAACTATCAGTTTTATTCTGTTTTGGCCATTCAAGTATTATTATTTTTTTAAATCATAATTAATTTTATATTTTAGTTTTAATTTGATTGTCTGCTCTACTGTTAAAAATTTAATATAATTATTGAATGTGATTTTTTAAAAAAAATTCAACAATGATGCGACACTACCTTACGATAACACGTTAATATCATCGTTAATATTTTAACAATAGATGTTCAAAATAAAAATAAAACATAATATTAGATGTGATTTTGAAATAAAAAATAGTTAGATTATCAAAATGAAACAAAAGTGGTAATTATGATACTAAATGTTCAGTTTACCATTATTTTATTTCAAAGTGATAAAATTAGGGAAATATTGTGGGCAAATAAAAAAATTAGAGAAACACGACTGGTGAAAATTATTTAAAAATATACTGTATTTGTTATAGTATATTAGGAGCTCTCTCATGTAGACACGAGAAGTTCCATAAAATATATATTATTTTATTAAAGTTTGTCATATGGACATGATGCGTTAGTTTCTTAAAATATGACTTTTTATTAGAATTTTTTCGCATGATGAATTTTAATAAAAAAGTATATTTTATAAAATTTGTTATATTTACGTGACGAATTTATAATTTATTATAATAAATATTGTAAATCCCTATTGAACCAATCATATATCTCAAAATAAGATTGGTAGGAGGTTTATTCTACCAAATTTGTCGACTTTACTTTAAGGTGACGTTTCGTTCGCTGGAATGTTTATGAGGGAATTGAAATCTGTGAAAGAATTGAAATCTGTAAGAATTGAAATCTGTAAGAATTGAAATATGAATCTGAAACCTGTTTGGTTGGCAGGAAATTGAATTGGAATCCAATTCCATATTCTGTTTGGTTCGCAGACATGTCAGATGAATTTGATTTCAATAATGTAAAATGACAGACTTGCCCTTCTTGTTTTTTTGCTTAATTTTAGTTTGTTTTATAACTTACATGTATCAATATATTATAAAAATTTTAAAAATATTAAATTTTCATTTTATTGATTGATTATTTATTTCAATAAATTATAAAAAAACATATTAATAAACATCATAAGTTAAAATCGTCACAATTAGGGATGACCAACCAAACACAAAATACAAAATTCTCAGTAATCTTATTCCCTAGCAATCTTACATTCCCACTGGTAATCTTATATTCCGTGAACTAAACGCACCCTAAGGTGGATGATTTTTTTTAAACAATCAAAACTTAGTTTGATCCGATGATAAAAGAAATTAAAAAAATATTACATTTAACTGATTAAAATATATTTTTAAATACTAATTAATATTTTATATTAAATTTAAGTTATTAAATATATTTATTAAAAAAATACATAATCTCAATATCGTAAACTTAAAGAACATGACCAAATTTTAAAATTTGAAATCGTACAAAACCTTTAATAGATTTAGGGAATGTTTGTTTACATCAGAATGATTAAGTGCTGAATGATTCAAATACTGAATGATTCAGAGGCTCTGGATGAATTAGCTCTGAATGTGACATGCTGTTTGTTTACTGACTCTGAATCATTCAGAATGTACTCCTGTGCTGAATCATTCAGTATTGTTTTGTTGAATCAGTCAGCACTGAATCATTCAGAGGTGCGAAACAGACACACTGAATGCTGAACGGTTCAGCATTCAGTGTTGAATGATTCCATTAAGAGGTAAACAAACAGCCCCTTAAACCATTTTTATCCAAATATATATTTGTTAAACTTAAAACGGAAAAATTAACCCAAAATATATCAGAAAAGGAAAGGAAACATAGAGAAACGTCTCGTTAATCAAACTGGATTTCATTTTGCTAATAATTATTGTTTTAGTCAAATATTACAGCAAGGGCCCTGAAGAATAATATAGAACACATTGAAGGCCATGCTAAAAGCAAATACATATAGGATTGAATCCAGAGATTTAAACTTAAAGCTATGAGAGCTATTTTTTAAACAAACCTTCTATGGTTTAGGCTGCCTTCACTACTATAGGACTCCTTACATAGTGTACACCATCTGACCATATCAACTGCCCATATACATATTCCTTGACTGCATCAGCGTTCTTAACTTTCAGGCTAACCTTGAATGTCTTCTCTTCACCAACCTTTTTGAACTTCAATTTTCTCGGCTTAACATAAACCGATATCCCCATCGGTTTCCGCACTTGAGCTCTGTAAGTGCCTGGTGATCCTACATTTTTAACAGTCCTAGTCACTGTGATGGATCCAACGAGTTTAGGGATGGTGATTGAAGGGTAGTTAAAGTTGGCAAGATTGATTGAACCACGGCACTTGTAGGGTTTCTGTGAGAACGCTGATATTAGTGTTTCGTTGTACCCTAATGTGCATAGAAACTTTAGGTAATCCTTAGCGGTTAAGTCATAAACGAGGCCCGGATCCATAGCCCGGTTTGGTTGTACATGTCCTGCTCCATAGCTGAATGGTCCGGCTTCGATGTATGATGCGTTTAGGATCGGCTCATGTGAGTTATCCAACGTGGTTGCTGCAACATCGGGGGAGAAACAGTTAGGGATTATTCTGCAATCATAATCTGAATGGAATTTCAAGAACCGGAAACTGAACGTTTCTTGTTGTAGGACCAGGTTTCTTACCGCTGGTCATGATAGCTGATTTGATTGCTGCAGGACTCCACTTAGGATAAAGGGATTTAAGAAGGCCAACAATTCCTGAAACATGAGGACATGACATCGAAGTGCCTGATACAGAGTTGAACTGAACTCGGCGCTTGTCGAAATCTTCATTTGTTGGCCCTTCTGCTCCTGTATAGGCAGCTATTACACTCACTCCTGGTGCAGTGATATCGGGCTGAATATAGAATGCAAAGTACTGAGTATCAGATACAATTTAGCAGATTAATTACTAGGGGGGGGGAAATGAAAAACTGTAGCTGCTAGTAGCAAGTACCTTGAGGATCTCAGGCGTGATGGTATTGGGTCCCTTTGATGAAAATGCTGCCATGAAGGGGGCTGGCTTTGTGCCAATTTGGGTGGTTACAGGTGTAATACGAGCCATGGGATGCCTGTTCATGTGTAGTCCGTGAATTCATGAGGATCTATTGTTATATAAGCTAACAATATGCCTATATTTATTGATTCTCACACTTACTTTGTTGATTTTATGTAAGCGAAAACTGCGAGACCATCGGTGTAGTTGATATGTGAAGCTGGGAGGAGATGAGCGTCGGCGATAATTTCATTCCCTGTGAGATTGTTGTTAGCAAGAATCATGCCAATAGCACCAGCCAGAGCTGCTTGCTCACCCTTGTCCACTCTAGCATTCTGCCCTCGAAGACAAACCAGTATCTTTCCTGCTGCCTTTTTAGGATCAATGGCACCAGCCTGACATAATGTTCTGCATAATGTATTCAAATCAGCATGTTTGTATGTATGTACAGAAGAGATCAAGAAGCAAAAATACATATAATACAGACTGAAGTGTGTTAGAACAGTAGGTATAACTGAAACCAAGGTACCACTATTTAGAAGTGATCTATCCTTACGCGTTTTCAATCGATGCATTCGCCAACTTAACATCTGCTGCACTAATAAGTGGGAAGAACTTCTTGCCTGGCAAAACTTTATCTGATAAACTTTGTCCCTTCAGAAATGAAATAAGTATTGCTAAGTTCCAAGCATTTTATGAACCAGAAATCTTAAGTCGTAGTAATTCCTCTCTATTTTGGTGTTTAATTTTGTATTGCACTGGATACTTATGTTGCTACTCATTTTTCTATTTGTATCTGATCTGCATTTTGACTTATGTTCAACAATATTTATCATCTTCCTCAAATTTCCATTTGATTTTCAGTAACTAGACTTGAAAGGAGGGGGAATGTAACCTTGAAGCGCATATTGTTGCCGAGGACAACAATACTAGAAAACTCCCTATCCATGGTGCTGGCTCCGACCGTGATCTGCCATGGTGCAATATTGGAGACAGTTCCATCAGCAGGTCCTGAATTTCCAGCCGAGCAGACGACAACTATTCCATGCTTGATAGCATGAAAAGAACCAATCGCGACACTGTCATTGAAAAAGGCAGTGGGTTCTCCTCCCAGTGACACAGACAGCACATCGACACCATCATGAATGGCCACGTCAAAAGCTGCCAATATATCTGCATCAAAGCATTCATTCCCGGAAACCGGTGGCCAGCACACCTTGTATGCTGCTACTCTGGCTCTAGGCGATCCACCTTTTGCGGTTCCTTTACCGAAGCCGAAAACACTTGCCTTGGCTACCATGTTACCTCCAGCAGTCGATAAGGTATGCGTTCCATGACCTTCTTTATCGCGTGGTGTATCGAATGACGAGTTGAGTTTGCCAACAGTAGCAGCATAGCCTTTGTTGAAATACCTTGCTCCAATTAGCTTCCTTTAAACAAAAATCCAACAATTTAGGCACTAACATGGTTTAGAAATACATGGAAAAAACATGTACTTTCATTACAAATAAACTTAAATTTTAATTCAGATACCGACACAAACCTAAACTACCTCCAGGAAAAGGGATAATAGCTTATTCCAGGATCGAAAAGACACCATAATAAGACAGTTGCAGGTAACATTTCAACCCAAAAGAAAAAAGAGGAAAACAGATCTGACCAATGACAGCAAGGGAATTTCAGAATGAGAGAAAGATGTTTTTGCATCAATATTTTGTGCACTTGCAAGTTGCAAGTGTAGCAGTGCACGCATGCATGTTCCATACAAGCAGCCAGAAGCTTTGTGTCACGATCCATGCACTTACTCAAGCCCGATCATTGAGCCTCGGCCAGTGACACTTTGCTTCTAACGAGGAAAAATGAACCATATTTAAGGGATCTATAATATGCTGGCTCAATAATTGTGTCTCAAAGGGTTTTTTTTGGATTTGTAGAAGAACAAGAACCCACATCTTAAGTATCCAATGGTTACCAAATTCTATGATATCTGATATACATATATATAATATTATGAAGCATAAACAATTCTTTGATGTCTTGCTTTTAGGCAACAATGTGCAAGGATATCAGATAAAAATATTCTGTCTGTAGTGCCTGGATGGAAGGCTAATACTAATTACCTCATTGTTCGAAATTTTCAGACATGTAGTAATAAACTAAGCATAAATTTTCAGACTACTGTCAGTTTGTAGGAATTTTTTTTTGATAATATACACTAAACAACAAAAAGAATTATTAGTATTGAAATCATACTCCATTGCAATACAGAGAGAGAACTTAGATAAAGCATAAACTTTCAAGGTAGATTTACATAGAAAAACAAGCCAAGAACTTAAAATTGCTCATGTACCAACAAAAACACATAACATGAAATTTTAAAGCGAGTTATTTTCATTGACAGATGTGAGGGAGAAAAAAAGGTAATAAAAGAATCTTATCTAGAAATTATCCATTTACAGACATCATTTTTTTGGAGTACAAATGAAGAAGTTTAAGGGGGGAAAAGGAGGTGACTTTGAACAAGTTTAAGATTCAAATTTCAACACAGGCAGATTTTTTCAGTATTCATAAACTGTAACCTCTTTGGAATCATTGTTAGACAGATTTAAGTGTTACAGACATTCGTGCAGCACAAATTTGTTCAATATTTTATAGGTTTTTTAATGCGTTCGGAGGATCATATTCCGTACTCATATCTAAATAGATGTTGAACCAGAGCGCGTACAAAAGCTTGAAAAGAAAATGAAGAGTCATTGGAATTGTAAAACCCGTTTGTGTCTCCTAAAGAAAAGTGACAACCCTTTTCTTATTTATGTGAAGTTTAGAATTTAGATAATACTTTTTTTTTATTCCCAAACTCTCAGAGAAAGTGGTACCCTCAGCATGAAATTCCAAATGGTTATGCTTTTTATATTTATTTCTGATATTGGTCCATCCCCACCACCAAATTGGAACTGAAGATTCCTACATTACCTAAAATTACTTCTGCAGTCCGCACACATGACGGATCCTTTCTGGGTTGAAAACGATGGACACATTAGGCCAATTAAGGCATACATTAATGACAAATTATGAAGATACCAAGTATTTCTATTAAGGGCATTTTGCTTAACAAAAGAGATCACAACCACCTCTTAAAACTGGGTTCATGATAAAACCATTAAAAGCAAGTGGGTACCTGGGCATAGTCCGCACTAAATTTCAAGGTAAAAAGACAAAATCAACAACATCATCCTTGGAAAAAGTAAACCCACGGCCATGGGCGTGGGTTGAAAGGTGGGGGTAGGAGAAAGCTAAAAAAAATACAGACCTGTTGCAGTGAAATCCGGCATCTTTGTGATTTTGACAAATTCCCTTCCATTTTGAAGGAATCGGTCCATACCCATCATCGCTGAAGCTTTTTGATTCAGGCCAAACACCTTAGAAATGAAAAAGAAAATCCCCATTCTTCAGCATGCGTTAAAGGCTATGAATATCAAAACCTTTACTAAAATACAAGCAAATATGGGCTATGCATCTTTGGTTTCTTGTTCTGTACCACCACGTTTCAATCCTTATCCACCTACTATTTTAAGGGTTCCAAGCCATTTTCTACTTCACATTAGGTGTTTGATTATTTTTTTAAGAACTCTTATCAATGGAACAGCTCCATTAGACTAACATAGACTCATGGTTGGCAACATAAGTAAAAAGAAAATGCTCTGGACGTCATGCATGAACATGGGGTGGGGCTAGTCAAATTGTAGTTTTTTTTCTAATACCAATACTTAATTCCATCGTTATTGAAAACAAAACCCTTTTTTCTTATTTTAATAAGTTTTCAAATTAAAAATTATTAGTATGCTAGATCCAATCTGTATTCATTTATGAGTTTTGTCATATGGGGACGAAGTTAACTCATAAAACAGACAAAAACTGGTTTTAATAAATACTTAGATTCAAAGCGAAGGCGAAGAATCCGCGACTTAATCTAGTTAGTTTATGCAATTATTATTACGAGAAAAGTGTCTCACCAGTGTCAAGGTTTCCGATAATGGTATCTTCACCATATCTGGTTTTGTTCCAGATTGAGTTCGATGCAACGAAACCGTTTTGCTCCAAGCCAAGGAATTCCCAGGATCGAGTTGTGTGCAGTTTTCTTCCCTTGTTCAAGAACACTGAAACGACTTTAGGGTGCCCTGCCATTGGAGTTCAACACAAAATCACACAATTGGAAAAAAAAACAGTAGTTTCTGGGGAGAAATGAACTGAAGAAATAAAAATGAAGCTTTACTTGCAATCTCAGCTGCTACTTCATCGTCTAAATTCGCAGCGAAACCATTGATGTGTCTCGTATAAGAGTAAAAGATAGCTTCTCGAGCATGCTCATGGCTGAAAACAAATCATCCATGATGTTAAAAACAAAAGGCTTCAAATATGTTTACTGAACAAAGTCAGCTGAAAGTCCCATTTACGATTTACCTTCCGAGGAATGTTCGGAGAAAATCGTAGTGAGAATCCGTCACAGCATCCAGATCAACTGATGGAGATTCGATTCCATGCGAATGTCCTCCCAAGTATACCACATAGGACTACAACAAACATATGCAAATTTTCATCATCTCATTTTGCATCAATGGAAGGGAAAAAAAAGGGTGCTTGAATCGAAAATGCTTACCCTTTTGGCGGCAAATGTAGGCGTCTGTAAGAGGGAGAAAACAATGAAGGTAACCAAGCAAAGGGTAGCATTTGAAAGTCTCATTTGCATTGGCTGCTGCTTGCTCTGTATCACCTGTGTTTCACCTCTATGCTTCTCTATATAACAAGAAGACTGGAACAGGGTGTTTGGAGTTAAGATATTGTTTTTGAAATTACTAAAAGAAAATCATATATTAATTTTCAGTCATAATGTAAGCTTAATTTTGACTTTATTAAATGTCACTTCCATGCGGACTTTGACAACTGGATTTATTTTCAATTGCATTATGAATATTAACAAAATAATGTGTATACAGTGTATTTTGACCTTAATCGTATACAGTGTGTATGCGGGTGATGACATAATTGACAATTATGAACTGACAAACATGAGGGGAAATATATATATATTGAGCATCAGTGATGGCCTGATGGGAAGGCAGTGTGGCCTTGGATTTGGGACCAAGAGGGTTCGAGTCTGAGTCAGCTGGCCGTCCGTTGTGGCCATTTCAACACTCGTATCTTTGGACAAGATAAAATCTCTCCTTCAGAGGCCAAGATCTGTGTATCAGAGGGCCCTTGAAAGAAACTTTCCTTTATCTTCTTCAGAATTTTCGGGGGAGAAATAAGTGTTTATTTCAGGTAAAGTTTATGATGGTACTCTTTTTGTGTTGTACTTGAGAGGAGGAGAAGCATGTCGTCTCTTTAATTTAGTTTTCAGGGGACAGTATATTGGGGCGATCAACCGTACTAGTATGTTGATCCACTAAATTATGTTTTTGTACCCCACGGCAGTCATTCCCGGTTCTCATTTTAAAGTTTTTTTAATTGAAAATTGATTAAAAGAACTGTCATCAGTCGTTAGATTTTGATCACATTTTCATATGAAAGAGCTGCACCAAAGGTTGGAATCCATCAAATTGTATCCACTTAAGTCATTAGTCATTCCCTATATGTACCGGTTGGATTTTTGGACATGATATTGTTACACTACTTTTTAATTATATGAATTCCACTTCTATAGATTAACTTATAATCACCTGACTAATGAGTATATTAAGTGATCTCATTGGTTAAAGACTATATAATTTTCTTTGAAAGTCTTAAATTTATGCAACTGTATTAATGGATGTGTGCATTATTAATGATTAAGAAAGATTCTTAATAATTATCACCTTATAATCATCATGGACTTTTAAAAAAAATCATTTAACTGATGATGTTAAATTTAATAAATTATAATTAGTATAAATAATAAGGTCTATAAATAAATTAAAGATAAAATCAGTCTGTTGCAATAATCTCAAGTTAAGGTGGAAAAGAATGGTAATTTTTATTTATTTATTTTAGATATACATATTATGTATTGATGTAAATGACCATCCAGCTCAGTTAGTAGAACACAAAATTCTTAACTTTTAGGTCGTGGGATCGAGTCTCACGGAGGGCATTTTATAATACGGAGGTCTCCTACGGAAACTGCTCTCAACCTGGTGTTGGTGCAGCCTACTATCTTACCTCCCTTACCCCATACATATGGGAAAAAAGGGACAACCAAAATATTATATATTGACGGTGGAAAACTCATTCCACAAATGAAATTGTATGATTGTTTTATATCTTTTAATTATATTAAAGAAAGCATATTATAATTAAACAACTTTTTTATAGAATAATATTTTATCGATAATGTATTAAATAAGTTATTTATTTTTATTATGTATATATAAAAGAGTTTGAAGTCCACGCAGGCCAGGCCAGGCCGACGACTCCTTGAGATATTGACCAACTATTTGTATTGTAATACAAGGATTGAGTTTCAGGCTGCGTCGGTCGTTAGCCTAAAAAACCCGAATATATCAAAGTCAGTTAAATCGTCACGGGCCAATTCAGGTTCACACTGGTCCAACAATGCCATCCCACTTGCCACATCCTGATAACTTCATGACTCATTTATATGACATTTTTCAGTTAAAGTCCGTTACAAATATATTATATTTAGAAAATTTTATAACGTTCGTCGAGTATGGATGAACACCGTTAACTATAAGTATTATTAAATTAATTTATAAAATGTTTAATTATAAATTACTAAATGTATAATTATAAATTAATAAAAAATCTAAATGTAATTTAATTAAATTACAATATTATAAAGCATTAGTTTTTAAGGTAAATTATATCATTGACCACCTAACTATTTACATCTTTTACTTTAACCACCAATTTTTTAATTTTGTCAATCAGGTCACCTACCTATTTAAATCTTGTCAATCAAGCCACCTGCAGGTAAATATTAACAGAGGAGATGGCATGACAGTTAATAAAATTTGTATAATTACACATTTAGTCCTCATTACTTACACATTCTATTAATTTGGTCTTAACTTTTCTTTAATTCAATAATTTTATTTCTTAATCTGATGATGACATGTGTCACTGTGTGATTGGATTTTTTATTATTTTTTATTTAATAAATTTTTGTCCAATCAAAGGGTGCCATGTGTCACCAATTTAATGAATGAAAATAAATAAAATCAATAATCGTGGGGTTTAAACCTGGGACGTAAGCCGAAAAATTGAATGCCATAACCACTAAGCTGAACTACTAAATTTGTTTAGTATACAGAACATAATCTATATAATTTATAATATATTTAATGGTAATAAATGACCTTATAAAAGACTCAAACATAAAATAATTGAATAGTATGAAAATATAAAATATATATAAACAAATATTATAATTGATTAATAAATAAATATGTTTTATTTATATTTTAAAGCACATTTAATGTAAAAATTAAAATAAAAGTGAATTTAATATGTTATAATTGAAATATATCACTTTACATATTTTAAATTAATAAATTTTCTTTATTATCTTAATTTTATTGAACTAAAATGTATCGTACCTTATAATTTAAAATATTAGAACGTCGATCGGATTATAATCTTATTTAACAACTCTATATTAAAATAGACTAATTCAATAAAATCAAATTTCTCCTAAAATTTTCTTCAAATATATAATGAATAAATAATAAAATATAAAATTCTTATTCTAACCGGGATATAAACAAATCAATGCATAAGTTAAAATACTTACTACGATAAGCCCTCCAACTATCAGGAAAATTCTAAGTCAACGAATATCTCCGTTGTATTTCAATTATAATATATTAATATTTTTTATTTTTTATTAAAATGATTTAAAATAGAAATAAAATACATTCACATATTATGGCGTGATAGATTTTTCATTTGAATGGTGCAACTCAGTGGTTGAGGTGTTTGCTTCCTTTGGGTTCAAACCCCACCAGCAGTTGTTATTGATTCAATTTATTTTATATTCATTAAATTGATGACACGTGTCACCATTTGATTGAATAGAAAAATTATTAAATTAAATAAAAATATTAAGAAAAAAAAGATCCAATCAGATGGTGACGTATTGCGGAGGACTAAATGTGTACTTATACAAATTTTATTAATTGCCACGTCATCTCATTCGTTAATATTTAACGACACGTGGTTTGATTGACAAGATTTAAATAGTAGGTGACCCGATTGACAAAATTAAAAAATTGGTAGTTAAAGTAAAAAGGATAAATAGTTAGGTGATCAATGATATAGTTTACCCTAAAAACTAATGTTTTATAAATATTGTATTTTAGTTAGATTACATTTAGATTTTTAACTAATCTATAATTATACGTTTAATACTTTGTAATTTAACATTTTATAAATTAACTTAATAGTATTCATCATTAACGATGTTCATTCTATTTGCCGACCACTCTATAGTCTTTTCTCTTCATTCTATTCCCTCCCTGCACTTCTCCTAGTCTCTTTCCTTAGCCACACTTAGCTTTTAAACCCCCCACAAGTTTACATATTTATACATTCAGTTATGGGTTGCTAGAGAGAAAGAAGTAAAAACAGTGGGAGAACGGAGCTTAAATTTCTTCCAGACATACCTCTGCACCAGATGTTGTGTTGTCTGTTAGCCGATGATAGAAGTGTATGTCATTTCATGTACTGATTTTTTCGTTTTGTACACAAGATGTTCCAACTCTCTTTCATCATGCACCAATCATTGAATCGAATGTCGAAGTATTTTCAATAATTAAATCGAGGGAGACAAAACTTGAATTTGAATTTTGACAGGAAAGAGAAAGAGAAGGAACGAAACGGGCGAGAGTAGTTACCCCGCCTGGCTCCCTGAATGCCAACTATGGATGCTGTCGATAAGTAGGTCTGCACTTCCTAGTTGGCATCGGAGGAGTCGGGCAGATCTTGCATACCAACTTACATTTTTGTATATCATCATTTCACTACACACGGAGAAACAAGACGTGGTGAAGGAAGAGATGCCAAGGTGGTGGATCGGTGCACATTTGACTTCAAAAAGATTTTTTAATTTTTTTAAAAGATGGAATATATATATATTCGTATAAAAAAAACTAATAAAGAATAAAATAACTACCACTTCTAAGGACTATTAGTTTGCGTTCCAAACCAATAGATTTATCTTGTATACGTAGTCTTTTCTGTCTTCAAAATATGAGTAACAATAAATTTAGAAACAATAATTATAATATCATGAGTTTGATTTCAGTGATTGTATTCATTCAAATTAATAGATTATTTCGATAAAATTTGAGGTTTAGTTTTTGTATTTTGATAAAGAATGAAATTTAGGTGTTTTATTTGTTGCGAATATTAAGTAAACTAATAGAATTATGAGTTGAGGAAATTATCAACCGTTAATATTTGCAACGTTGGACAAATCCAGCGGCAAAAGTCGGTTGGTTCCCACCAAAAGCATGATCTCCGGGGAGGTGTCAATGTCACCCACCTCCTCAGTCCTCACCTCGCCACGTGTCCAACGCACCATCTTCTCTTGCCACGTAGTTCCTTACACTTTCTCCCTATGCTCCTGCTCCCACTTTTAACCCGTGTTGTCTTCTGCTTTTTCTCAATATATTTTTACTTTATTAGGGAAAGGAAAGGAAAGAACTCAACACAATCGCCACCACTTTGAACAATAACAGACGGTTAAAAACGCAGGATACTTTTATTCCATTATTGCCCTTCAGACGTCTCCAAAACCTTACTGCAACCAAACAACCATGGAGGTCCCCTCGGGGTTCTTAGCTAAACTATGGAGCTTTGTTTCATTCCTTCCCTTCTTTTCTTTGCTCTTTATCCTCGGCCTTCTCAAAGGTAATTTACAAAACAGGTTAGGAACAATAAAAGCAATCATGAAACAAAAATACAGAAGAACATATTTAGTTCATGATTTTAAAAACTTGTGCAGATTACTGAAATGGATGGTTAGATAAGTGATCAGTTCAAAAATGGATTTCTTATTTAGTTTTTGCTTCTTCTTCTTTTCAATTTGTTCTGTTAACAGCTGCATTCATTGGTCCAGTCGCGTTGATGATTATCTTGGCCGGGAATTCAGCGGTGGCAGTTGGGCTTTGGCCTGCACATTTTATATGGACTTACTTCACTGTAGCAAGGTTTGATTCTTTGGATTTCAATTTCCTTACATGTAACCCTTTAAATTCCAAGCAGGACGGATTCAAAACTTTTTTGTTTGTTAGGGGAGACAAACTTCTAAAATTTTAGAGAGAATAAAGTTATAAAATTTTAATGGCGAAAACATATTATCAATATAAAATATAAAGAAATATTTAAATTATATGATAATTTGAAATTTTTAGGAATTAAATAGCTTTTGGGTTCTAGCCTTTTCTGTCATTGATATACGTAGCATGTTGCCAGTCACATTGAAATGCAGTGTCTGCAATAGAAAAGTAGCTGCTACTGCAGTTAGAATATATGATTCGTGGACGTAGAGAATGTTTGTGTTGTGTCCTTATTTCTGTTTCTTCGACTTGTAATTTTAGAACAAAGAGGCTGGGACTGGCTCTAAAGATCGTGGTTCTAGTATCGTTGATTGTACCGCTGGTTCTCTGGCTGGTCGTAGCTGTTGTTGGAAGCCTTTTAGGTGGGATAGGGTATGGATTTTTCACTCCCCTTATTGCAACTTTTGAGGCCTCTGGGCAGAATGCCATTGACAAATGCCACCACTGCTTTGCTGTGAGTTGCTTTTCTCCTTCTTCATTTTTGTCTGCTTCTTTTGCAAGCTACCTGCCACAGAATTTTGTGTTAATTCTTTCTATTAAAATTTTAGTTTAGTTCCATTACTAATAAGCATTATATTATTGTAGAACTTTTCCTATATCTTCCATTCTAGCATGAATAATGTTATACTTACAACTAGGATGAAAATAAATTGGCCATTCAGGTTGTCAAATGAGTTTAAAAATGAAAAGGAATGTGTATGCCTGCATATTTCATTCAATCAAAATGCCTTCTGGACCATGTGTCTGATACTTGAATTAAGATGGCATGTCCAACTATATCCTTACAACACAATTATGTTGTTTTCTCTCTTTCTTTTTTGTTCCGAAAATGTCTATAATTATTAACACTTATAACATATATGATTATTCAACTATAACTTTCGCACGATGTATGAAATATTGTCTTGGTCTGCTAGTTTAGTCTCATGACTGATATGTATTTTAAATTAGTTTGGGAACATTTTGTCCAGTCTGTTATTTGCATGCAACATACTTCATTTAAACAATAAAATGGTAGCTTAGTAATTGCATGGCAGGATGGTTGTTTGTCCACCATTAAAGGAAGCTGCACTGTGGTGACGGACTTTACGGATTTCTGCTTCCACTCATACTTCTCCTACATGGATGAGCTAAGTGAAAAAATGTCCTCGGATGAGAAGCCCATGGATATAAAGTAAGAGCTTCCCTTCTTAAGCTTTGCTCTGTACCAGTCAATAAATATAAGTAAACTCTTGGGATTTATTCCATTTTGTTCTTGCAAGGTTATTGAAATTGCCAGGTTGTTTGTTGGTTGGCTTGATTGGCATGTTAGTTGATGTGCCTTTGATTACAGCTGTTACTCTATGGAAAAGCCCATATATGCTGTTCCAAGGATGGAAAAGGCTGTTTGAAGATTTAATTGGTCGGGAAGGGCCGTTCTTAGAGACGGTGTGCGTTCCCTTTGCCGGTTTAGCAATACTTTTATGGCCTTTGGCTGTTGTGGGAGCTGTCGTAGGAGCTATAATTGCAAGCTTCTTTCTGGGGATTTACGCAGGAGTTATCATTCATCAGGTCCGAAAAAGTTCCTTTCTCAGTTTTTATGCTCTCACCTATTTTGTTTCAATTGGTTTCAAGTTCTGTCTAACCTATTTGTTAAATTCCAGGAAGATTCACTTCACTTGGGTTTTTCCTATATTATATCTGTTGTTTCTCTATTTGATGAGTATGTAAACGATTTACTCTACTTGAGGGAAGGATCCTGCCTGCCCAGGTACAGCATGTGTTAATGTTCTTTATTTTAATCACTGGAAGAACCATGCATGTTCCTCCTATGCATGCTTTGACTTTTCATTTTTCTTGAAGTGCTCGTGTCCAATACCATATTCGAACATGGTGTGGCTGCATATTCATCCTATTACCCTTCAATTATTTAAAAACTTCGAAAAAATTAAATATATCCAACGCTCACACTCAAGTCCTAGGAACATTGTGTTCCTCGTTACTCCTAAGATTGTCTTCCTTTTATTTTTACACATCTCTTGATTGTGATTATGAAACATGCTTTTGACAGCCAGGCCCAAATATCGTAGAAACATGGGCCATAACCCTGATATCGAGAAGGTTAATGATAACCGTTACAATGAACTGGAGAGTAAAGGTGAGGTGTCCAGCAAAAAACTTGTTTCAGAAAACTCGAGAACATTGAAGTGGGCTATTCAACACTATAGACCTATGCAGGTCAACTCTATGACCTATAATACAAAATTAGTGTTTAATATAAAAGAACTCAATTAGGTTCGATATTTTACAGGTATGGGACTGGCTTTTTAAATCCTGTGAGGTGAATGGTAGGAGACTCCTCCATGACGGCCTAATAACTATCAAGGACATCGAGGAATGCATTGTCAAGGGAAATTGTAGAAAGTTGGGTATAAAACTACATGCTTGGTCCATTTTACAGTGTTTGCTGACATCAGTTAAGAGTGACTCCTCTGGTTTATTGATCAGTATGTGCCTTATTCTCACTTTCTTAAGACCGGCATTATGGAGGATATTAGGGTTACAATCATATTATTGTGTGATTGAATTTCCCAGGTGACAACGCAGAATTAACGAGGAGTAATATGCCAAGGGATAAGGTGTTCGAATGGTTCATTGGACCACTCTTTATAATGAAAGAGCAATTAAAGAAACTCGAATTAGATGAAAGTGAAGAAGCTTGCCTGAGGAAGCTGGTTATGGAATGCAAAAATGAGACACCGGAGGACTGGAATGATGCAGGTTTTCCATCTGATGATAATGTCAGGAGAGCACAGCTTCAAGCAATAATTAGAAGGTAAAATAAAAGGCTATATCAGTAAACCAAACAATTCTTCAGCTGGTCGACTGATATTTTCATTTGCTCATCTGATTGTGCATGATAAACCATTATGTAGCATGCTAAATGATCTTTTTATTTGCTCAACTGGTCGACTGATCTTTTCATTTGCTCATCTGATTGCGCATGATAAACCATTATGTGGCATGCTACTTGGTAGTTGGAACCATAACCTCAGCTTTTAGTTTTCAAACTTGTTATCCTCATCGGCCATCATGCCATTTTTGTTTTTCGACAGATTGCAGGGAATTGTAGCTTCCATGTCCCGGATACCAACATTCCGTCGTCGGTTTAGGAATTTGGTGAAGTTATTATACATAGAGGCTGTTCAGGCTGATGCTTCAGCCCATCATATTGGAGGAATCCTAAAATCTAGACATGGTGGCGGGAGATCCTCTGGAAAGGGAAATAAGAAAGATAGATATGAAAACGATGATGCAGTAGTGAATAAAGCAGCTGCAAATGAGGATCTAGTGTAAATGAACCTTTGCATAGTTTAAATTTATTGTAGAATATAGGTGAAAATGTTTAGACAAAATATGTAAGAATCAGTTCCTGGATCATCTACAGTTTCTGTAAATGTAGAAAAACATGACAATGAAGGTGTTTGTTGCAGTAAAAAAGAAAAACAGGCATATTTGCATATCACAGACACCTCATTCCAAGCTATAACTGTTGCAGGTCATTGTAACATTGACTATGATGTTCATGTCAGCCAGAAAATTGAAACCTAGCTTGTCTGGCAGCTGGAAATATCTCGGGCGTTCATTGATTTTTTTAAAAAGGGCAAACTCAGACTATATATTGCAAATTGGTTTCGAGGAAATTTTCGACGTCCCCTAGTTTCGGACACCTTTTTTTGCTTACAACCTTTGGATGGAGATTTTCACTCCATGGAGAGACAAAGTTCCCTGTCTGTTCGTTCATTCTGTCTCTTCCCAAAGAAAACCACAATTTCTGCTAAAAACAGAACCAGCATGCTCACGGATTTCTCTTCTGCAATTTTGTTTTCGCAGAACCTGTTATTATTTCTAACCCCATCGTTCATAAGCTAAGATTCCAGGTCCCTTTAACCCTTGAAACTTTCCAACACAAGGTAACGTTGTTTTCTCCCCTCTATAATATATATTGGGTTATATATAGGTATATACAATCCTGGGAAATATTTTTACAATGAGATCAGATCAGATCAGATGCAGTGGAACTGAATCATTAGAAGTTTTTTCATGAAAAATAAATAAAATTTGCATTTACAAATGGCATTTCATTTCCCCTTGAGAGCTCACTCAATTGGAAGCTCGTCGTATTATGCAGAAAGAGTAACCAGAGAACCTCACCCGCAGACTAACAATAAAAACGCTCAGACCACCGTTACATTGGTGTACCAGACGAATATAGTCGGCTATTATCGGAACGTCAAGGTTTTGTGGTGCAAGAACGTAATGAACCCTTCTCTCAGCATCATGGTGAATAGCACGCAAGGGAATTTCCAATACTCCTGCAAGACCGATCTTAAGCTTTGGCATTTCTGGGGCAAAATAGGGTGCAAGTCCTTTGAGGTTGAAGGGAGTCAAGTGGACGTTTACTGGGATCTTCAGTCCGCTAAATTCATCAGCGGCCCCGAACCGGTCTCGGATTACTACATCGTGTTAGTTGCTCATGAGGAGGTGGTTTTGTTATTAGGGGATTACAAGAAAAAAGCGTACAAGAGAACGAAATCGAGACCGGCTTTGGTTGAACCTCTCCTGATTTACAGGAAGGAAAACATGTTCGCCAAGAAAAGCTTCACGACCCGAGCTAGATTCGATGAAAAAAACAGAGAACATGACATCGTTGTTGAGAGTTCAATAACTGGAATAAAAGACCCTGAAATGTGGATCAGCATGGAAGGTGTAGTTTTGGTTAATGTCAGGAATTTGCAATGGAAATTCAGAGGGAACCAGACCGTTCTGGTTGATAAGCAACCGGTTCAAGTCATGTGGGATGTCCATGACTGGTTGTTCAGCAACCTTGGTACCGCCCAATGTGTGTTTATATTCAATCCGGTGATGGCCGAAGCGGAGAGTGACAAAGAAGGAAGTAGCCACGGAGGAGACAGTGACAGTGGAAGCAAGTATTATTCTACACTAGGCGTCGACAATACATCGGAATTCAGCCTGTTCCTTTATGCCTGGAAGATTGAGTGAAAATATCGAAGCAAAATGTTCATTAAAAAGTTACCTCTTTTAATAGTTAACAAATCAAGAATAGAACGATAATTATGATCCTAATTGACTCATTAGTCATTATAGCACAAACTGTGAGTGACATAAAGGATCGGACCAAAACTATTTGAAAATATGAGGATGAAATTGAATAAAAAGGAAACTTAGCAGGGTAAGAAAACAATATACTCTTTTTATTTTGTTTTATTGTTCTCCAAGAAAACCCTCTTAAGTGAAGAACTATTGCCATTTCCTTTTCTCCCCGTCATCGCCATCGCCATCGAGCAAATTTACTCTTTCCATGGATCTAGAGGATAATCTGGAATCACTCTCACTCGAAAACAGGGAAGAATCCCAAAGTGGAAAGTTATGGAGATTAAAGGTAGCTTCGAATGTGTTCTTCGTTTACCAAGACGAAGATGGGTTCGGAAATGCCATTGCCCGTGCTCTCAATCCTACTCCTCACCCTTACAGTAAAGTGTAAGTCCCTTCTCTCTTTCTCAGTCTCTCTTTGGTTGATTTTCATTGAAAACCCGTATTTTCAATGTTTATATGTTTTCAGCTTCGAGGTATTGAATTTGGATTTCGGGGATGTAAAATTGAATGGCTCTGTTACTCAATTGAGAGATAAAGACGATTTGAAGGTACTGTTTCCTTCCTTTAGCCATTAATATCGAGACCCATTTATTTGAATTACAGCTATTGTTATCGGTTAATGTAGTTTTGTGGATTAAGTGAGGAATTTGTAGAGCTACTTCATTTTTAGAGTGTTTGGTTTCTGGTGAAATAAGAGTAAAAGAGGACTGCCTATTTTGATATCGTTGTTTACTAATCTGAAAGGGTAAAAGCTCATTAGGAAGGGAGCCTGATGTAACCCTCTTTTCACCAGTGAGCCCGCCCCATTTATTTGAATTACAGCTATTGTTATCGGTTAATGTAGTTTTGTGGATTAAGTGAGGAATTTGTATAGCTACTTCATTTTTAGAGTGTTTGGCTTCTGGTGAAATAAGAGTAAAAGAGGACTGCCTATTTTGATATCGTTGTTTACTAATCTGAAAGGGTAAAAGCTCATTAGGAAGGGAGCCTGATGTAACCCTCTTTTCACCAGTGAGCCCGCGCTATCTACATAAACATGAGATTTTCGAGTTGACTCAAGTCTAGGCTTTGAATTTTCCCTTGTGGCTAATTTTGAAAAGGTTTTCCCACTGGATTGATGGTTTCTTAGTTGCTGGTCCATGTATATTCCTCTGTTATGATATTATCATATTATTTTTAAACAAGGAAATAGAATGAGATTTTCTAGCTTTTACTGGCTAAGGATGAAGAATGTGATTTCAGGAGTTGTAGAACAAGAGACATAATCTCAACTTAGGATAGAAATAGATTTAATGAGTGAACTGAATAGTAGCTGTCACCATTTTCTTTTTAATCCTTCTTTTTGTTGGTGTTGTGTACCTGACAGTCTTAGTGGTTTAGCAATCATCTTTGTGAAGGAATGGCTTCTATCAAGGCCATTCATCTTCAAGTATGGGAGTATCAAATCCACTGAATCACTACCCCCTAAAATATCACTTGATTGTTCTCTTTGCTGCGTGAGGTGTCCGGTAGGATGGGGAAGTGTAAGGAGTGGAAGGAAAAACTTCTTCCTTTCCACCCTATCCGTAATTTAGGAGGGAGGTAAATGAAAGCATTTGTATTTTGTACTATTCAACATAAATAAACAATTTTAATCGGAACTGTACCAAACACATTGAAAGTTCTATTCTTTACCTCCATTTTCCTTCCTTCTTACCAAACATAGTCAAAGTGCATATTTGTGGAACTTATTTTTCCCTTAACTCGATTGCAGGCAACAATGGTAATGTTAGATCATTTGGAGCCACCAGTACTGCCTCATGTTATATATTCAGTGCTGACTAAAATTGCAGATGCTGAGCACATGTCATCTGCTGTGCCCACTATTATAGCCCCTTTTCTTGTACCGGCGTCAAAGCTTAAGGTGGAAGGTAGATTGTTGACAATGAATAGTGGCAAAGTTCCTCTTTATGGTATCCAAGTAGGTCCTGAGACTAATGTAAGTCGAGTCATTGCTTCCAAAACTCAGAAGCCACCTCCATCTTTGCAAATTCATTACGAGCCTGTAGCCTGCTTTCTTCACCTGGTCCGTGCTGCAAACTTGCCAACTTCTATTATAGTCGGCCAAAGAAGCCAAAGCCCATTTAATAAAGCTTTAACTGAGGACATACAGGTATTCATTATTTTTTCCAATATTAAGCAAATGTGGTTATTAAAGTGTGGCTTGCTTCAATAGAATAAGCTAGAAATGATGTTAGAAAGCATATTCATATTCATTCATACCATGCACCGCTTGTTAATTGGTTTCATTTTCCCCCCTTTTGCATGCTAAGGGGGTTTTGAGATTAATATCGATCTATACTCAATATATTTCTGGGGAATGATTTTTCAGACCCTCTGTGAGATTGGTGAGCTTGCAGCAAGTGCCACTGGGATGTACTTCCAGGGAGAAGAAACCAAAACTAATTGGATTCCAACAGCGAAGGCAGCAAGCGGTGGTGGTGGAGAGCCATGGCGCGCATTCTATGGTTAAATGTTTTAGGTTCTTGCAGGAACCAGAAACTGAGAATTAACATGTGAGTGGGTGCATATTGTAGTAAAAACTAGGGCCCCTGTTTGTCGGATATAATACAAATTGCAGTCAGCAGTGGCTTAAAATAGTTGAAAGATGATCTTATGTGTTCCATATTTGTCGGATGAATCATACAAGAAGGAAGTTTAGTGCCTGAGAGGTGTTCAACATGTTGATATGTGATCTAACATGTTTCTTGAATGATTGTCTGACTGACCCCATCTACTATTTCTTTTAGGTTATCCGGATGCATTTTGTACTTTTTTAAAATGTAATATCTTTTTTTGCTTTATAAACTGAGAGTTCTATTTTAATAACTTGCATATAATTCCTTAAATCGTTCTTATTTACTGACGAGATTAGCTTATCTTTCCTTTGAAAATGGAAAAGAGTGGGAAATTCGATTTAGTTGTTCAGGTGTTTGCATCGTTGTTTGTTAAATATAAATGACAGGACCACATGTGTTTATGGCGTGGACCATTTAAGCCATTGTTGGATGTTGAATGGGGTTTTTCAAGAATTTATATTTGGGTGGTCGTACACTGGAAAATTTTGTTGTGCTGTCATGGTACGAAGATATGTCAATTTCAAGATAAGATTAAGCCCACATTAATAATCTCTTGCTCTGGTTTTGGTATCAGTCTGTGTTCATCATATAAATTGATTTTTTATACTTTTTATTAAAATTTGCGTTTGGTGCTTTGCACATTAAAAAAATTAATTTTTAACGTTAAAAAAACTATCACTAGAAAAACAATTGTTCATTTTTTTTACTTTTCATATTTAATTTTTTTTTAATTTGATTTCTCAATTTTCTTGTCACTATATCACTATTTACTTAATGATATTATTACTAGGGATTTATCTTTTTTTAAAAATTTAAAAAGCCTCGAAAATCCTTTATATTTGTGAATTGTCCCTAATTTTTTCTCCAACTTGTAACGTAGTTTTAGAATTTCTTTTATTTTTTGAGGTTGGAGGATTTTTTTTTTATAAATCCCAACAATGGAAAGGTGGGGGAAAGATTAAACGAGTAGTGTATTATGACTTCATATTAATCAGATGATGGAGACTGTAGGTTAGATTCATTTTTATCTGTTTTTTAGGTTGAATTTTTCTGAATTTTTAGGAAAATTTGATAAATTTAAATTGATATAATAATAAGAAACTTTGAAATGAGTTTATCGATGTCTAAGGTGATAAAAATAAGATATAAGGATACGATGGTTTCGATAATCATATGATATAAATCATCCTCAAAGATATTTGATTAGAATGATAATAGAAAAAAATGATAAAAGGGATAACATGTGCCTTTGAACTAAAAAAACTCATATTAGTAAAAATAAAAACAAATCATATAACCATGATGTTTTTTGATGTAACGCCGATATGATAAATTGAAATAATTCAAAAATTGGATAGTTTTTTAAAGTTAAATGACTAAAACAAAATATAGTAAAAAATAAATGATGAAAATTGTAGTTTATCCTACAAAATAATATTAAATACTAAATATATTGTCACTGTTGGTGTTGTGCTTATTATTTAAGTATATCTTTAGCTTTACGTTTGAGGTTGTTGTCTTGTCTAATTGGATTTGAAGTACTTGCCTCCACCTTAAGCATTTTTTAATTTAAGTTTCATATTTTATTAGTGAAATTAATAATATAGTTATATATATTTTAAAATTTTAAATATAATAATTTCACGTTGTATCTCGAAATATTTTTTTAATTAAAGTCGGCATTAAGTTTTCTTACTTTAACCAAACATAACTTATAAATAAATTAATAGTAAACTTTCTTCTTATAACACCAATAATATTAAAAAAGACTGGAGGCTAACTATTTCTTAAATTATTTTTTAGAAGAGTGTATATTCTTATTATAGAATTTAAAAATATATATCGATATTTAAATTTAACATCTTATTTTAAATGCGTTTTTCTTTTTAAAAGATTAAGTTAATTTTTAAACTTTTATTTCTCATATTATTCTAATATTTTTTATAGTGGTGTTGTGTATGCAACACACGATAACCTATGATTTTGTTACAAGGTTAATATTGCAAATTTATTATTTTTTTTAGAAAAATATTTAAAAAAATCAAAATAATAAATATAATGATATTTAAATTCCAAATGGGTGTGTTTTTACAAAAATCCAGAAATTTATAGTTCATTCGAGGAAACCTGATATCAATGGACCTTTAATCATCGATGTTTATTGATATTTATAGAATCGATTTAAATAATTAAAAATAAAGGTAAAATTGATAAAGAAAATAATTTCATTAAATAATCAGATTCGAAAAATTAAAAATCATTTTTATTAATTATTTATTAACACTAAAAGTATTTTCTAGTTATTTTCAATTAAGTCGATAACTTATGATTAGATAAAAAAAATAAAGCTTTTTCAAACAAATTAAATACTAATTTGAGTGAGTAGTGAATATATATTTATAAAATGCGAATAATTGAATATACAAAAAGGACAGGGTCCCACTTTGCTTTCCTCTCCAATTTTGCGCTTTTATTTGTTTTGATTTATGTTTTCTTCCGATTGAATACTTAGTTTTCTCTCTCTTTACACTTTTTCTCAGCTTATGCCATCACATTTCCTAATATAACTTGTATCTCAGTATCTCAGTATCTCCTGCTTGCATAAACTGAAAGCACGGGATCAAAAAATTATAAGAAAATAATAGTGAGGATGGACAGATAGAGGGAGTGAGAAATTGTGGAAAGCTCATTCTCCCCTTATGTTTTCTCTTCTATTCTGAAGGTAAATTTCTTTTTTTTTTTCCTTTTTTTTTGCTTCTTAATTTGATTTTCCTTTCTGGGTATTTTTCTTTTCTTCACTTAATTTTGATTTTGGATTTTCTTTTTTTCTTTTTGGATTTTAATTATGGAGTTTGCATCTTTGGATTAAAGTTCAATATTTTCCTCTGATTTACGTTAAATCTTTTACCTTTTTTGGATATTAGACTGTTTCATTTTATATGCTTTGAAATTGAATTAGTTTTGCTTATAATTATTTTTCTTGGAATGCTTATTCCCCTACCTGTTCCTTTTTATTAAGACTTTTTTTGTCATTTTTTCTCTTAATTTTATTTCACTGTTTTAGTCGTGATGGATGACTCTAAAATTTGATTGGTGTGTGTGTGTGTGTGTGTGTTTTGGATTTTCTTATTCTCTTGTTCGCATTGATTTCTTGGTGCTTAAAACTGTTTACTTTTTGGCTGTGACCATAACATTATAGAGACTTTTCCCCTTGATGGTTGGAGTTTGGTTGACTATTTGAGAGACGATATGTTTCATTTTGGGAACTTTTTCTAATTCTTACTTTGTTAATTTGCAGTCACCTTGCCCTCAAACAAAGTGTGAAGGAGTTTGTGAAGACGATCTGTATGATGACTTCAATATGGATGAAATTGATTTGAACCTTGAAAAATATGAAGAACTCTTTGGGGTAACTCTCAATCATTCAGAAGAACTTTTCGAGAATGGTCGAATTGATAGCTTATTTGGGACAAAGGCCATGTCTGCTACTGATTACTACTGTCAGGGTGCAGTGGCTGCCGAGGTTCTCTCATCTCTTTTCTTTTTTCTTTATGGTATCTGTATCATCTTTTTCTCTGATAGTAATATTACCATTTCTTAGATGTTATGTTTTTGTTTCCTGGTTTTCTTAAATATATTTCAGCTATTAGTTTTTCCCATTCTGTTACTCGGAGTTTATTTTGGTAGGGGTATTAATTTCATCAATAAACTTGATTTTCATGAAGTTTACTGTCCATTTGTTGATGTTCATTTTGAATAGCCACCAAAGGATCATATCCCTTGGGTCAGAAGCATCTAGATGAAATCAATAACATTGATTTTCTGATATGACCAATGTACCAAAAGGAAGTTGATTATATAGCCATTTTTGGTAGGTTTCCTTAAGTAGTATACTAGTACTTGATCTTTCAGTGTCGTCTTCTTCTTGTGAAATATGCATATGTGAAAATGTTTTTTTACGAAAGTTGGAGTTTTAATGTGCTTGAAAATTAATTTTTTTTGTTTCATCTCCCTTAGGAAACTTACTAAGGAATCATCCATAACGGGAAACCCTGAAAATATCAAGTTTCTATTCAGCAGATGTTCTTATGATTGTAATTAAATATTCTTTTCCAGGGCTCATCCCGTGGACTAGTGAATGCAATCAAGCCAGCATGCAGCAATGCCGCGTCTGCTGATTCCATGTTGAGAAGTAAAACCGATTCAATTTTGTATTTTCTTGCAAGGCAGGACCATTCAAGCTTCTCCTTTTCTGGCCTTACTGGAGAGAGTAGCCGAGGAGATTACCAAGATTGTGGGGCCTCGTCAGTGCTTCTCACGGGACAACCCCCTTGGGGTCCTCAGTCTGCCGAGGGCTCCTTCCCATCGGCTACTCGAAGTGATGCTGTCATGCGTTACAAGGAAAAGAAGAAGACACGGAAGTAAGTATATGCCGGTAACCTATTTCTCAGTATTGTTATCTGTAATCTGTGCATTTTAGTTACTAATCCTGCCATTGGAGGAGTCCATTTCACTGTAGTGCTCTCAAGTAAGCAAATCTGAAATTGCATACCAATGTCTGCATCTGTGAGTATTTATCAACAATCGATCAGGAAGGTCAATATAGAATCTATATCATGGGTCTTTTTAACTTATTATTTTACTTCTAGTCTTGTGTGCAATCACCATTTATATGTTCAATGTCATCCGTATTTCATGATAGGTTTGAAAAGCGAGTCAGATATGCCTCTCGGAAAGAAAGGGCCGATGTGCGAAAGCGTGCGAAAGGACGCTTTGTCAAAGCTGGTGGTGCCTATGATTATGATCCACTGAACCCAACTCGAAGCTGCTGAGAGTACAACCTACAACTATGCTTAGAACAAGTAACACCGGATGTTATTTGGATACAAAAAATACCATGAATAAATTTGTTGGTCCTGGTTGTCCATCACCATAAAAGATCCACGGATTGTGGCCTCATTCACAAGATCTGCCTTGATCGCCTTTGCTGCCATATTACGTCCGAGAAAAGTTCACCTGCTCAAAGTCATTTGTTTGTTCAGTGTCGAACTGAAAATACTTCCGGATACTCCAAGCCATGAATATGCTCTCAGTGTTCATGTTAGACAAAGTATATACTTCTGTTCTCAGCCCTCTGTAAAATCTGTTGCTGTTGCCATTGACACTGCTAATAATTCTCAATTCGCCGTGACATGCAAATGAGCATGCAGCTATAGTTTTGCTCTTTCTTCTTTAATTTTTTTTAAATGTTTATCCTAATGACGTGTATAGCCATAGATATTTGCAGAGTTGCAGTTGAGAGACTGGAAACTTGCAATTGTAATATTTTCTCTTCTGGCGTATAACAAAGGATTTAATAATATGCACTTAGAATCAAATTCATATTACCAAAAACACGTGGTCCAATTTGTTCGTAGCAACACACTGTTTTACCGTTGTTGAGTTGGCTACTGCATTTCGAAACCCTAAAATCTAGCATGCTTAAAACACAATGAATACAGCAAAAAGATGTTATAAAAGTTGTAGTAGGAGAGTGAATATTTCTGGTTGCGCGAGTAACATGATCGATCCAAAGAAAGGCTAGATGAAGTGTATCAATGTAATTGAGTTGCATAAAAGTTATACTAATAATTATTAATGTCTTAATGTTTTTATTTTGTTTTATATTATATTTTATTTTTAATATATATCAATACTAAAAAGTACATATTGTCAGAAAAAAGAGAGAAGCACGTGAACTTGAAGTAAAGGAACAAAATAAATCAACTCAAAATAAATCAAATCGATAGTATTATCATCTAACAAAATATACCGATGATTGGTAAAGTGCAATACTTTTTTAATAATAATAAATAAATAATATAACTTTAACGTTAAGTGACGACAATGATTTTTTAATTGATTACTAATTATTTCGTTTCTTTAATATTAAACGGTCACATCGATACTTTTTGATTGATAACAGATCATTTCATTTTTTATTATGATTATAAATAATAAGTATTTTTTTTTTATTTTTTAACGTATAAACTCTTATATTTAATAAGAAAATATATTAATATGTTCTTCATCGTTGATGGTTTTAAAAATATTTTAAAATTTAAAAATATTTTGAATAATAATAAATAATATAATGTTAATGTTAAGTGACGACATCGGTGCTTTTTAACTTGACGCTGATTATTTTATTTCTTTAATATTATACGGTGAGAATGATGTCTTTTGATCGACGACCAACTATTATTATTTTTTATTCTAATTATAAGTAACAAATATTAATTATTTTTATTATTTCTTTTTTCTATTTTTTATTTTTCTTAACGTATAAACTTTTATATTTAATAAAAATATATATTAATATGTTCTTCATCTTTGCTAATCGTAAAAATAACTTAACTCTACAAATACTTTTGAATAATAATAAATAACATAACTTTTAATTGGTCACTAACTATTAAAAGGTGACAATGATTTTTTTTTTATTGATGACCCATCATTTCATTTTTAATTATGATTATAAATAATAAGTACTTATTATTTTTATTATCTCATTTTTCAATTTTTTTGTTCTTCTTAACATATAAATAGTAAGTATTTATTAGAGTATTTTCAGCAATTTTGTCATTCATTCTCTGTTACCTTAATCAACTTCTCGAACTGACATTTATTTTCAACAATTTTTTTATTTTTTTAATAATTTAAAGTGATTAAAAAATAATATCTATTTAGAATTTTTCTCAACTACTTATAATACACACACGCTCACTGACATAACTGTTTGAATTCAAAATATTATTTGGAACTAAAGGTTTTTTTTATATAAAAGTTTAGGTCAAGAGTGACTCCCCAATACAGAGTCAATGTATACTTAAGATTCAATTAAGATTTACATAAAAATTTACAGATTATTCATAGTATCAAATTACGGTTGCGAAATTTGTTGCGATTGTGATCGTGGTGTCGGGTATAATATGACAATATATTATATATTATATATTATATATTATAATGAAGTTGACACGTGTATATAAACTTCATTATATATTATAATGAAGTTTATATACTAAGAAGAATAAAAATGGAAAATGAAATAATAAAAATAATAAATACTTGTTATTTATAATCACAATAAGAGAGTAAAAATGAAACGGTGGGTGACTAGCCAAAAGGCACCATTGTCGCCGCTTAATATTAAAATTTTATTCTTAATTATTTTTCAAAAGTACTTCTAGAGTTGAAAAAAAAAATTGAGACCGAAAAAGATAAAGAACATATCACTTTCATGTTAAAAATATTAAATTGACTCTAAAAACACATATAATCCTCTTTATTAAATTAAACTTAAAAATCTGTGTAATCGTCTTTAATTTACAATGGAATCGTAACATAGCAAATACAAATGGATTATATTTTATTATTATTAATATATTTTAAAATTAATGAGTAGTCGAATAAAATTTTTATTATAATCGATGATAAATTATAAAAAATTATAAAAAAGTACAATAATAACTATATTTCTTTGAAGATAATACAGATTATCTATGAATAAAAGTTAGTGCCCTAATCGTGTTTTATGATATGCTCGAATGGCTTAGCTCATGATCCATTTGTTGAATAAAGAGAAAGGGAGGGGGCAATCGGTGGCTGACCAAAACTCACCACAGCTGCCCCTTAACATCGTGAATTACAATGTAACTGTAACACAGCAAATACAAAACGCATTGTATTCTATCGAGAGTAATTGAAGAGAAGTAATATAATTTTCAACTTTTGATAATCAATTAAAAATAATTTACTAAATCACAATGCAATTAATATAATTTTTTATTAGATATAAAAGTAAGGCAAGAAAAGTAAAAAAAAAGGAATAGAATAATAAAGGATTAAAAACGTGTTATTTATAATTATAACAAAAAATGAAAGAAAAAAAGTAAATAGTCGATGACAAAATAAAAAATATTTATACCATCGTCTAATAATAAAATATTAAATTGATCTTAGAAATATGTGTAACCGTTTTTGTTAAGTTGACCCTAAAAAATTATATAACCGTCTTTATTTTACACTGTAACTGCCGAGCAATGTTACCGTAACATAGTAAACATAAATGAATTATATTTTACCATTGTTAATATTTTATAGTTAGAATACATCAAATTACCTTAGTGAATGATAAAAGTGTTGTAATCCATAAAGGTCTCAAATTCAAACAACTATATTTATATAATATATGTATTATCATTAATTAAGAAAAATTATAAACATATATTACTTTATAGATTTCTCATATTATTAAAAAATTATAATTGAATGAAGATTTTACTATAATTGACCATAAATCACAAGAATATCATATAAGAATAAAATAGTGCACCAATATCCCCGCTTAAAACTTAACGAAATAGTGCAAGTTGCCTAATGATAGAACTTAATAGCCTAATCATGTTTTAAGCGTTTTATGCTATATTTGAATGACATAGCATAAGGCACGAGTTGAGTAGAGAGACAAATTAATGAATTATATATTTTATTTCATGTGGACATTATATCAAATGGAAGTATATATTATATGATGATTAATGTATACAGTATACTTAAAACATGTTTATAGCACGAGAAAGTGTGTTTTATATACAATTATGATTTATAAATATAAAGATAGATAGATAATTAAATAAATACAATCATAAAAGTAATATATGAATAACATGAAATACTTTAAATTGGATAATAAGAATAATAAACGTAAAATAATACACTATTAGCGATCATCATTATCATCATTATCAATGTTTTCATCTTTAATATTAAATAATACGTGGAAAATCATTATTGTTGTTAAAGTATTACTATTGTAAATCAAAGACAGACAGTAAAATTTTATGTTAGGGATGATAGACTTATAAAATTTTAAGGAGAGACGAGTTATAAAATTTTAGAAAGCCAAAAAAATATTTTCAATAGAAAATATCTAAATATATAAAAAATTAAAATTTTTAAGGGCCTACTGCCTTTATCAGCCCTTACCTAGGTCCATTTCTACTACTTATTAACATTAAAAAAACATGTAAAATCATAATAATTTTATAATGTAATCATTGAATAATGTAACCGTTGGATAATATAATCACATTATTTTTTTAAAATAACTTTTTAGTGTAATTATATAAAACTTAAACTTAGGCATTATATCATATATTTAACTAAAAATTATATATAATTTTAAAATTTAACGTTGTCTACTAATATCAAAGAACATGTGGAATCACATTGATTTTATAATGTAAGCATCAAATAATATAATTGTTGAACAATATAATCACATTATTTAAAATCAAAATAAAATCAAAATTTATTAATATAATTATATAAAATTGTAATTGGTGTATTATATTAAAATAAATATACAAAACAATGAAAGAAGAGAAAGGGGAGGCGGCAATCGGTGGCTGATCAAAACTCACCACAGCTGTTCCTTAACATGAAAAAGCATGTGAATTGCAATGTAACCGTAACACAACAAATACAGAACAAATTGTATTCTACCACTCTAAAACAATTTTTTAAAAAAAGGAGAGTAATTGAAGACAAGTAATATTCTTCAAAATGCTCGTGACTTTTATTCTCAACCGGATAAAGTTTTGATAATCCATTAAAAATCATTTACGAAATCACAATGCAATTAATATACTTTTATTAAATATAAAACTTTATATGTTAAGAAGAATAAAAAATGAAAAATGAAATAATAAAGATAACAAATACTTAATATTTATAATTACAAAAAAAAATAAAAAAAAAATAAAATGATCATTCACCAATCGAAAGATATCGATGTTACCGTTCAACACTAAAAAAAAATGAAATGGTCGATGATCAACTAAAAAGCACAATTGTCACCGCTTAAATATTAAAAAATGAAACTGTCGGTGCTAAAAAAACACTACTGTCACCAGATAATATTAAAGAAACGGTCGATGATCAACTAAAAAGCACCGCTGTCACTGCTTAATATTAGAGAAATGAAACAATCAGTGATCAATTAAAAAGCACCACTGTCGTCGCTCAATATTAAAGAAACTAAACAATCAGTGATAAATTAAAAAAACACTGTTATCACTGTTTAATATTAAAAAAAAAACGATCGGTGGTAAACTAAAAATACTATTGTGACCGCTTAATAAACGATCGGTAATCAATTAAAAACACTGATATAACCTCTTAATATTAAAGAAACGAAATGATCATTGATTAATTAAAAATACCATCATCACCATTTAATATTAAAGAAACGAAATGATCGGTGATCAATTAAAAACATTAACATCACCGCTTAATATTAAAGAAACGAAACGATCGGTGATCAACTAAAAAAATCACTATCACCACTTAATATTAAAGAAACAAAACGATCAGTGATCAACTAAAAAACATAGTTGTCATTGCTTAGTATTAAAGAAACAAAATGATCATTGATCAACTAAAAAACACTATTGTCATCGTTTAATATTAAAGAAACAAAAGGATCAGTGATCAACTAAAAAACACTATTAACACCGTTTAATATTAAAGAAATAAAACGGTAAGTGGTTAACTAAAAGTACCGAAATCACCGCTTAATATTAAAGAAATGAAACAATTGATAATCAACTAAAAAATTCCGTTATCATTGCTTAATATTAAAAATCAAAACGATCAGTGATCAACTAAAAAATATTATTGTCATCGCTTAATATTAAAGAAATGAAATGATCCATAATCATTAAAAAATTCACTATAAATAATTTAAATCAAATCAAAATAATATTCATATCACATACTACAACAGTAATTATACTAAAAAATTTCATGCAAATGATAAACTCATGACTTAAATAATTGGATTCGTAAAATATTTGACTTAAACTGGAAATTGTATCAGAAAAAAGATATAAGTGGGAATTGTAGCTCGAGATGAGAAAGACACTTCCTTTAAAAATTGCTAAAAAAAGTCATGGCTGCTGATGATATAAAGTAACCATAGTTAAGGATCAACCACAGTTTGCTTTTAGAGTTTTTTTATATATATATTTTTGGGGGTGGGGGGGGGGGGGTTTGCTCTATATAAGTAGAGAAGGATTGATTCATTGGCACAGCCTGCCAGCAGCAGCCATTGCAAGGCTTCAAAAAGCTTCAGTTCTGGTAAACCCAAATCTCCTTTCTCCACGTTTCATCGATCCCATGAAAAGGAATCCTTTTTAGTTCTTGTTCTGTTACCTTTTTCTTCTTTCAACTATGCATGAAATGTTAGATCTCATATATTACCTTGATGTGTATTTAATGGTTTCCAAATTGGAAATTTGATATCTTTTTCCTTACCCTTTTCTTGTTACAGCTTTGATTTTATGTTTTTAACATATTATTACCGTCAAGGTTAGAGCATGGCTGGATCTCTATAATGGAAAATCAAAGAAAAGGTGTTCCATTTTAGCATTGATCATAGCTGAGATGTTAGTTCTAGACAAATTGAATGCTAAATAAATTGTCCTGTCCTTTCCCTTTGATTGTTTCTTTGACATCAACTCCAATTGATTGCTGGTTTTTTGCAGTTTACCAGAGTAATTTCCAACATCATTTAGTTTAACATTGAATTTCTCGAATTGCAGATCTCTTTTTTCCATTTTGGAATCCTATACAACAAATGGGTCTCTCAGGTCTACCAACTCCATCACAAGGAATGCTATATGTTCTCTTGGTAAACGCAGCTATGTCGTTATCTGTAATTAAAGGCATACTTCGATCCATCCTTCAAATTGTCGGTATCCGTATATCGTCGCCATCGACGTCATCCCCGGATTCGATGCCATCTTCCCCGGATTCGATGGATTCATCCCCGGATTCGATGCCGCATTCCCCGCATTCTATTTTCCGCAATGAATTAGCCGCGTATCACTCTGCAGCTGAAGTTTACCTCAAGGAGTACCGGAGTAGGATCCCGACAATTCGGTTGGACACTTTAAGCATCAGCCAGCTACCCGAGCATGACTGCCCGGTCTGCCGGTGTGAGTTCGAGCCTGACTCGGAGGTCGACCTCTTACCCTGCAGTCATCTGTTTCACAAGGAATGCTTGGAGACGTGGCTGAGGTATTTGAGAGGTACTTGCCCCGTTTGCAGGTATCCTCTGCTATTCGATGAAGTGAATGCCTGCTATTGATGAGAAGATTACAAGAGTGACGAGTTTGAGAAAAATCTCCAGAGTGCAGCCTGTTTAATACAAAGCATAGGTATATAGATTAGTGTTGTTAGGCTACCCTCAAGTTTACCTTGATGTGGTGATGAATTAATGCATATTGTCAAGGTTTCTTATGTTATATGCGAATCTCAATGTCTTAAACTTCTTTGACTTGGAGTTCTTTCTTTTAGGCTACATGCAAGTGTACCTTGATGTTTCTTATGTTAATATGCATATTGAAAATGTTTTTCATTAATAATAGGATTTGTTATGTAGTTAATCTTAAAAATATAAAAAATTAATTTTTTATATTTTTAAGATTAACTACAGTATTTAAAATATATTAACATGAATATATAAATTAATTTTTATTATTAACTACATAACAAATCCTATTATTCTAAGTTCAAATAATTATCTATCTCAATAATTGATTTTAACTCCCTCCCAAACATAAACTGATTAAAAGAAAATATCTATGCAAAATACTGAACAGAAAACAATTCACTTTAACGCCTGAAAGTTCAACAATGCAAATAGCATGTTGAAGTGGTCAGTGGCGGAGCCACATATTAGTGAGGTGGTCATGTGCTTATCATGAAATTCGAGTTTTCTTCGATTAGTTATTTATTTTATTAATGTTGTTTAATTTGAAATTTGAGTTTTATTCAATTAGTTACTTATTTTACGGATGGTGCCTACTCTAAAATTTTATTTGTATTTATCTCATTTAAAAATTTTATGTTGTTAATATATGTGTGTAAATTCTGAAAAAAAATTTTAATCCGCATAGTGATAGTGGTGATACAACTCTTTCCACAATATTTTCTGCTTCACCAGCTGCGTTTTATCAGGAGAGAGCATCTTGAGCCCACCTGAAAATGGAAAATGTATATTACCAAAATCCTATTGAATTGCCTTTTATATGAATTTGAAAGATAACTCAACCACGTAGCAATAACCTCCGTAATCTTTTTGCGTTATAAAAGTAGTGGGATGTGTTAGAGAGAGAGGTTGAAAGAGAAATAAAAATATTTATAAGAGGAAGAAAATATATTAAAATTAATGTATCATAATTAAGTGGCTTGGTGCTCGATAATTAATATTATGTCAATTTTTTTGTCAAATGTTATCGATATGCGACTTAATTGACATCATTTAAATAATTAAATGCTCTGATTGAAAAAAAATTGATTATTCGATTAGAATCGTTTAGTAATTAAATAATTACGGGTGTAATTTAAACAAAAAAAATGAGTTAAACAAATTCATTATGTAAATAATTCAATACAATTAGTTCCCAACCTACGTTCAAGGGTTAGGTATCCGTCATAGACAAAGGTAGTTTATCAGTCCCCAACATGATGTTTTGTTCATTTATATAACAAGGCGAGATTAATTGATTGATAAGACGATGTGTTGAATGTTGCCATTTCACGAAACATTGTTGGTGGTCAATACTCTGCATGTTCAAGATTCGAGAAATGCCAATCGATAACAAAACTGATGCAGTTTATTGAAAGGCAACAGCGAAACCACTTGTACTTACAATTAGAACATACCCAAATGTAGCAATGATGTTTGAGACCTCAGTACAAGGATTAACTGGCTGCGGTACTGCAGGTGTTTACACCATCTTTACAACCTTGGTCAGGTCGTTGAAAGTCTCGAATTGCTTCTTCCCTCTCAAGAAGAGTTCTGCATCGACCAAGGCCCTCATGTAGCCGTCGAATTCGACCGGAGCTCCATTATTAAGTTTTGCTGTGTCTGAATACCACTCACTTCTGTCACCCCAAAAATCCTTATAGTCGTCAAGAAAATGAGTGGCATATTTGTGTTTCAAAGGTTCGAAGAAGGATGTTTCGGGTTCATTTGTTGCAATGTACACATTCCTGCCGTCTTCGATCTTGTTCTGTAAGGTCGAGAGAAGGGCATCGGGCGAGGTGTCTTGTGTGAGATTAGGCCACAGGTCCCGGTTCCTAGCTTTTTCACCCCTTATGATGTGAACAGAATCGTAATCCCAGTTCAACTTCGATCCAATTGCTGCCACCAAATCCATCAACCTTCTTGATTTCCTTATTAGATGCCAAGGCCTTCGAACTACGGATCCGGTCTCTCCTTCACAAACTCCGTACCAATAATTATCTGGCTCGACGGATCCGAACTTTCTCATGATCAAAGAATGCTTCACCCCGGTAAGATGTTTTGGTGACACCCTGAAATCCTCAACAAGGTAAAGAGTCAATTTATTTTTCTTTTGCCATCTCTCCCAGTATTTCCAAAACGGATCCTGATCCAATACTGATGCTGCTTGCTTCAGGTGCTCAAAATCGAAGTAGAATCTGAAGTCTTTCCCTTCTTCGTCGAGTTTCGATGAAGTGTATATCGAAGACAAGCAAAGGGTCATATCCATAACCAGGGTTCGCTTCAAATACCGTGCTTCACCTAGTGCACACAAGAAACTCCATAAATAATGCTTCATGCGCTTGCACCTGTCTCCACCACCTACATAAATCAAGTACCTCTGACGAATAAATGCCTTTTCGGACTCGACAACCGGAAGTGAATCATTTCCTATTTCCCCCGCAGCAGGCAAAGAGAAGCCACCGTGGTCTTGCATTCCTGATGCTGGTTCATATCGAGGTATTTGATTCTTATTCTTCCTCTTTTTCTTCCTTGCATTGACACCGGAATGATACTCCCCGACACTCACGACACTAACCGTACAATTCTCCAATCTATCGATCACAAACCGCCTATAGTCCTTATTAAAACCAGTTGCTTTCCCTTTCTTAGGCCTAAACCTCCATGCCATATCACAAGTATTCCCCTCGGGGCCAGGAGTTGGCTTCCCGAACCGGTTAAAGTGTATATCCTTAAAACGCTCAATCGCCTTTTGCATCATCGATTGGAACACTTCGGGGTCTCTACAATCAAGTGGTTCTTTAGGATCAAACTCACATACTGGTGAACTAGTTTCATCTGCACTCGTATCGATTGTTTCAGCTGCATCTGTAACATGGATCAAAGTCGCTAATTCTGTCTGGTTGCCTGCCAATAAATCATCCCCTGTTCTAACGACAGCATTATCCGATTGAAATGTAGAATTCGACGCGGAAGACAGGAAAGTTGTGATATTCGTTGGAGAGTTGAAAAGTGGGTCATCTGGTTCATAAGTAGCAGCTATAATGGTGACCACTAGAGCTGCTATTACAAATACAGTTAAACAAATATTGGCAATCAAATGTAAAGTATTTTTTCCTAGATTTGCAGGCCTAGTGCTTCGAAATCTATGTAATCCAGGACGACCCGACATCTTTTCATTTACTAAAAACCTTAATTACAATGAACTAAATCTACTTAAAAGGACTAGAACAAAAATACCCAGATTCCTAAAATGCAAGAATTCAGTGAAAAAGATTGAGGCTTTACAGATCAGGGATCATAGATCTTGAAACTAAAAAATATGGCAAGTATCTTAAGAATTCGACTTACCTCTTCCAAGATGAAGCTCTGCCTTTCTATATGAATGGGTTTGTTAGGATGAAAAGAAGGAAAAATGGAAAATTTGTTAATGATCAAATTTATAATCCTACTTTTTTTAATCCATCTTACCAAACAAAACAGTGAGATAATGTGTAAACTGATGCGCAAAACATGCATGGCTTCTTATGGCTACATGCAGGGTCGAATTTTGGGGGTTTTGCTTGGGCCTTGCTCCCTTAAATCATTAAAAACAGTTTTTTGTTTTCTTTAAATTTAATTAAAAAGACAACTTTGGCCAAAAAAAGTATTTGGTCTCACAACCTGAATTCAATGCTCTGCCTCCTACAGTTTCATTAGTGGAAATATACATGTATGATAAAATAGAGGGGGATTTTATATATACACGAGTGTCAAATGTACAACAAAGTCTAATGAAATTTGATTCGGACATACGTATGATTTTATGTTAGGAGTCTGAACTTATAAAATCTAAGAGTGTAAACATATTATAAAGAAAATACAAAAGAAAATAATATCTAAATTATATGAGAATTTGAAATTTTCATGAGGATCGACCGTACCGGCAGCCTGTCCATCCATGTCCATCACATTTTACCCTATTGATTTAACTCTCTCGGACGGTGATCTATAGAAATTGATACAATTTTTAACTGCTGTACTTGGTTCATGCAGATGGGACTTCGGCAGGTGTGCGAGATGCAACCCTGTATTGGATGCTGTTCATGCTGAAGTCCATGCTTCTTAGAATTAATATCTTTGAGTAACCTCTTGGCAGTGTCGTCGGCGACATTATCGGCTCCATTTATGCGAATGGCGATACCATACACAACTTTCTCCAGAACTGAGGAAGCCAATTTCTTTTCTTGGGGAGTATCTCTAATTAAATTGATGAGAGTACGGGTTTTTTCTCGAGCTAAGTTAGCGCCTAATACTATCAGTCGAAGAAGCCCTGGAATTGCACCTTCTTTAAGAAAGTTTTCCCTGTAGTTTTCTCGGTAGCTTTCGCACAGAGAAAGCAAAGCTCCAATGCGTGCTGTGTGCTGAGGGGAGAGCCATCTTCAACAGTCTATACCAAGGTTAAAATCCCACCATCCGTATACTGATTGCAACTCACCCTTCTTCGGATTTAGAAAGGATTTTGCTTTTTCAGTCATCCTATAATTTTAAGTTATAACATGTTGATTGTAGAATCAAATTCGAATGAATTTTAATAATTTATGCCAGCTTCATTATCATAAGCTTACAAGTTCAAACTATATTGTCTCAATCAAATATTCTTAATTAAATTTACATGATTACAAGATATTTAAATAAATATGTTCTAAAAATAATATTAGATACACCATAAATATAATATTAATAACACCAATGGCATGTATACAAGAAGTTTCTGAAAAGGTTGTATAAAAAAAATTCTGAAAAGGTTTTAAAACAACAAATTTGATGACACTCCCTGAACAAGATTTCGCGTCTCCAATAATAAGATTGGAATTTTCACATGAAACTTTGGTGGGGGTATCATTATTATTATTAAGGTTGTTAGTTTATCAAAACAATTTTGAATATGTGAATTGGATTAAAGATGAAACATATCAGTCACCAGTGCCATGACTTTCGCTAATTGCTTCAAGTCTTGGTTGCCAGAAAACGCCATTTCTTGACTTCCTTTTCTCTCCCTGCTGGGATTCCTTCTTGGAGGTGTCGGCAATGGAAATGCTGCCTTCACCCTTTCTGGTTTTAGTGGCGGCCAAATCAGTCTTGTGGTTTATATCAATGCCTGCAAAGCGGACATGTTTCTTTGTTCCATTTTTGTTCTTGGTTTTACTACTAAATGAGCTGCGTACCCCACTTGAATCACTAACTTCCTTGGAGACATCAATGAAGGATTGTGACACCGAAACTTTTCCACCGGGTTTTTTTATCCTTTGGCGAAGCTTTCGTATGGTACGACGAGGGACGGCATAGAATTTTTCACCCGGGGAGAGGATCTCATGTGACCGGACCAATGAATCCCATGGTCTCCTGAAAACTTCTGGTCTAGCTAATACGAAAGATGGATACTTCTTTATGATATTAACTGCAGGGATCGCCATGTAATAGCACTCAACAATTCCACCTGGATGAACAATCTTCAGAGCTGAAGACGTCCCATGGCTCTCCCTTGGCCCTTGCTGAATTTGAGCCACTGGTCGAGGCCGACCGTGGCTAGAGAAAGGAGCAAGTTTACGGACATTGAGGAACTTCAGCATGTCAGCCACAATACCAGTGTTCCTACAGTGATGCAAATTTATGACAAATATGGCTTATATAGAATCACCTTGACTCTGCTTGTTATCTTTGAAACGACGATGATTACAAGAATAGAAAGAATTTCCAGTTGTTTTCGCGTCTATCTTAATTGTGCCGACTTGCAAGTCAAATAGGGGATCTACAACCCTGGAAGAAGATATCAACTATGCAAGATCACTATGGAGGGTCCGGCCTCCGAGGCCGGCCATTTTTCTTGTTTTTTAGCTTGGGTTGAAACATCCAAAGGTGAAAATGAGAGTAAGAGAAAAGAAGAAAATGAGAATGTATAAACAGAAAATCTTTTGTAATTTAAAGCATAGTTTGATGTTACTTTTTAATTTTCTACTTTTAAAAGTGATTTTCAAAATTGCACTTTAAAGTTTAATTGTTTGGGATTAATGTTAAAAAGTGATTTTGAAAAAAAAATATTCATTTTAAACATTATATTATAAATTAAAAATATAACATTTAAATTATATTTATACTTATTAATACTATAATATTTAAAATATATAAACTTAAACTATGATAAAAATATAAAAAATATTTTAAGATAACTCATTAATAATAATTTTATATATGAAAATACAAAAATATACTTATACCGATGTAAGTATGTGTTTATTTTTAGGTATTAAGATATTGAGAGATGCACATACTTACACCAGTATAAGTATTTTTTTTTTTAATTTTGCACAACAACAACCCCCACTGTAAAGAAGATGTGAGTAGGGGTGTTCATTCGGTTAATTCGGTGGCCGAATTTACCGAATTACCATTAACCGAATTTTTTTCCGAAAAATATTAACTAAACCGAATAAATTTCGGTTAATTTTTGAATTAACCGAATTTTTTTAAATTTTCTAATTTATATAAAAATTAAATATTTTATAATTCAAAAAACAGTTTATAATTAATTTAAATAATATATAATTATAAAATAAAAATTTTATATAAATTTTTAATTAATTAATATTGATTTATGTTTAAAAGTTATTGGATCTTAAATTATTAATTGGGTTTTAAATGATTTGGGTTGAACCCATATGTTATATATAATATATTTAATATTTTTTAATTCAGAAAAATAATTTACAAATAATTTAAATAATATATAATTATAAAATAAAAATTTTATATAAATTTTTTAATTAATTAATATTGATTTATGTTTAAAAGTTATTGGATCTTAAATTATTAATTGAGTTTTAAATGGTTTGGGCTGAACCCATATGCTATATATAATATATTTAATATTTAATATTTTAATTCGGTTAATTAACCAATTTCAAATCGAATTAACCGTTAATCGAATATCCAAAAAAACTTTAACTGTTTCCTTACCGAATTAATTCGGTGGCCGACCGAATTAATCGAATTAATTTATTTCGGTCGGTTAATTCGATTAAAATCGAATTTTAAACACCCTTAGATGTGAGGAAGAAGAGAAAAAATTCCTCATTTATAAAATAAGCTTTTACTACTCGTAAGATAGCACAATCCACCCATTTAATGAAGGTTAAAATTGATATTTCCAACTCAATAGAGCTTTTTCAACCTCAAAAGCTTCAAAATCCCAGTTTTTGGGTTTGGTCTAAAATCTCGTTTAATACACTAATTTTAGTTAAAAGTGCACTTGTTTGAGATTGCTTTTGCTTAAATAAGTGATTTTAAGGTGTCAAAAGCAATCCCAAACCGGCCCTAAATATTTTTTATTTGATTCTTGCATGTTTAGAAAATTAAAATGTGCTTTCATCAATTTATATATGTTTTTCTTTAGAAAATAAATTTAGAGTAATTACAAAATAATATTTGTTTAGAACTTTTTTTAGCCTATTTAACAACGCGCACATACCCTATAGACGCAAATGTTCAAACTCGAATTCTCTGAAAAGAATAACATTCTCTTTTATTACAGAGATTACTCAATGAATTTATGATATATAAATATGTTATACATACACTGCTACAAACACCCATATATATATATATACACACACATGAGAAAATAAGAGAGAGGGTTGCACAATATCATCTGCTCACATATCAAAAACATTGAACATCAAGTTTATGCATAAACAGCAAATATTAAAGTTCAAACCGAGTTCTCTGGCTCCTTGGAAAGCTGCAGATGTTAATGGGTGGTTTATGAAAACCAATGGAAATTCCAATGATCAGAGTGGAAGGGGTAAAGAAAGACAGTAAAGGGCAATAATCATGTCTATATCTGTTTCTCAAATGATAAATAGAATACAGTCCAGGAAAATTCCAGTTTTTTGAGGTTATCCATTTATATAGTTCTCTTCAGCTGTTAGGTTACTTCATAGCAAATGAAACAAGTTCTTATATACTACATGGTGGAAGCCAAGAATATAAACAAGTAACATCTCTCGTCAATAGCCAATAAAAAAGTACGCCATATATCAGCAGAATCTCACTGTAACGAAAACATGTATACATACATATGCGTATTTTTTTGTTATCGAACATATATATGTATACAGGTAGGAAACTTTATGTGATAATTTCTTGATGCACCTGTAAGAGGAATAAACTCTTCATCATGTGGCACCGGCTCCATTTTTCACTGGGATGACTTCATTCATTATCTAATTCTATCGTCTTGGGGACCCCTTTCTGAGGTCGGTATAAGTTCATCATCAGAAGACGAGGAGCTTAAGTTCTAATTTTGATCGGATGTAGTTGTGGTAACTGTAACAGGCAAATCTGACAGTGATGGCCGTAAGACAAGATAAAGAGCAGGACCTATGAATGGCACCAATGATAAGGGAAGAAGCCAAAAACCTTTGTCATACCTGCAAATAGGAAAAGCATTCCAGCAACTCATGTCGTGCCAAATAAACTCCTTTTAGAGGTTTTGAACTTTAGATTCAAAGCAAGGGCATGATAGTCTCTATATTTTTCTTACCATTTACGGGCAGTCATATCATTATAAACCCAGAAAGCGGCAAATGCAGATAGTAGAGTAAAATCCAGGGTCATGATGTGAATCTGTGACATAGAGATTTGATTCCCAGCATGAATATATTTCGAGTTCCATGACATTAAAACAACATACTGTCAAGACAAACACAATAATTCATGAGTACTCAAAAGATCGACGATCTTACAAATTTGCTTTCCCTGAAGTACTGGAAAAACTCTCTCCAAATATCAGCATTTTCTAAACCTGCATAAATGATTAAACCTATTCCCGCGGCAAGTGACACCTGATGTGTAATGAAGTTATTTTTCATTTTTGCACCAAAACAATTTTTTTGTTACTTTTATCAATGAAACGAAGTGGTGCTATACTGTTATCCCACATTATTAAATTTTATGGAAATTAACAGTTCGGTTATAGTTGCTCAAATACGAGGATATTGTATGCAGGGGAGAAATAGAAGTACTTACCCCAGCAGTTAATTTTGATTCCAGAAAATTCAAAGGCCACTTTCCGAGTTCATTTTCTTCAACAGGTGGTGGTGGTGGACTCCATAGAACAAAATATGGTAAAAGAGCATATGCACCACCAAAGCATGAAAGTACTAGAAACGGCCAGGTGGGAATGTTGTTCTTTGAGCTGCAGATATATAAAATCTTAACCAAAAATTAGACAGGTTGAACTAGTTAACGCAAAATGAAGAGTGTTCGTCTTGGCACAACAATAAGACGGACCATGGATTCAAGTCTCGATAACAAGTACATATAGAAGCTAGTATGTCAAAGTTTAGACCTACTAGATAGTGCGCTGAACCCAAATCCGATTACATTTGCTTCATAAATAAATGCAACAAAACTAAATCATCATTGATTCAAATAATTCTACCCAAGTCCCTCAGTCCTTTTGCATGTTCCGTTTGTAAGAATATAAAACCAATTATCATCAATTTCAACTCAAGGATAACATTGTGGAGATAAGATGTTCAGATAAGGAAAGTAGTGAGAGAAGTTGAAGGTACCTTCTGCCTGTTGGAATCAGCAACATGCTGTACACTAACGGCCACAATCCCATGATGTACCACAGGGAGACAAGTACTTCATTCATCCTAAAACCATCATCTCCCTTCAAATTCAGGAGCTTTTTCAAAAAGTACACGTCCCTCGACTGCAGAGAGTTAACAATCCCATGTTGAGGATGCAACGCAGATGTTAAATTGATTATTTCATGAATTTATAAATTTGTAACTCTCAGCCAGTCGGCCTTAGGCATAATCCGGAGAATGTGATATCACATCATCATGTTTATATGCTATTAACGTTTCTATCAGAGTTATAATTAGCATGAAAAACAAGCACAAACGCCACAAATGAATGCAGATACAAATATAGCAAAAGGAAATGGAAAATTTAAACTTTCAAAAGGCATGAAGTTACTTCTCTGGAGAACAAGGGTAACCAATGAACATAACAATTGAAACCCAAGCTTTAGCAATAATGTTTTAGTTCAGAAAATGATTAACAATAACCACAGCAAGGAAATAAAACCGGCACATAAATCAGAATACTAAAGCATCCATGAAAAAGCAAGTTATTTTGAGTAATGAAGCCACTTTACTAAATTTCATCTCAATTCCAAATCAAGGAACACAAGAAAGGCAGTCACCATTAAATAAGGAAACACACATACAACAAGAACAAGAAGTTGGGTTTGGAAAATACCGGGGTTTGGTCAGGTGTGAGATTGAAAACATAGTACATGAGAGCACTCCACAACACAAAAAGCAAAATCGAGGTCGTCCAATCCCTTCCTTCTTTTTTGTTATTATTATCCGAAAGCCCTTTATCCTGACCAGTTTCTTCTTCTGAATTCTGGGTTTGCAAGGTACTTTTACATATTTGAAGAACACCCATTTGCTGAAATGAGGAAATTAAAGGCTTATGATTGTGGGGTTAAGGAATACTGAGAAATTCGAGGTCCTTTTGTACAGTAATGGACTTTGTTGGCTAAGATTTCTAGCCCGGATTAAAGTTTTGAACTTTGAAGAGTTTTGAGGTACGTGAAAGAAGCTACAACAGATGAGATTGGTGGTTGCAGACATTGTGAGAAACAATTTTTTTTTTTTTAAATCTCAAAATTTGAGCTTTGATATTTCAAAACCCATGATAAAGCATAAGAAGATGGAACTAATGTAAGCTAGCTGTTAGATGCGGCTAGGAAAAAGACAAAGCGGATCCGAAACGGCGAGCTTTAGAGCTAGACTATATGTTTGGATAGAAGGAATGTGAAGGAAAATAATCCAAAAATATTTGAACACGCAAGCCTAAAACAAAAGCGCGCATTTAAGCGACATCGTTTACTCTTGTGTGAAACTAAAGAAACCTCAGCCAAGGACAAAAAGAGACAAATTCGCGGTCAAACAAACCAACAGTTACGAGTTTCTTATGTTCTGTTCTTCGGTTTCTAAAGCAGGGAACTTTCCATTTTAATCAAATTATTGGGAGGTTCAATATAGTTAAACATATCAACTTTCAGAGAGGCCTAGGTATTATTAATTTTCGTTAAAATTTTCTTAACATTATCTCTTTGTCTAGTCTTGTTAAAAAAACAACCACCAATTATCTAAACCTGTAGGATTCTGTTTTTGTTTCGTAGAGATGACGGGAAAAAGATGGAAAAGAAGCGTCGAAATTGCATGGGTAGCAATGGGTTTCTTTCTATGGAGCTTAAAAGTAGCGGAAGGGGTGAGATTCGTGATAGACAGAGAAGAATGTTTGTCCCATGATGTCAAGTACGAAGGTGACACTGTTCATGTCTCTTTCGTCGTAATTAAGGCTGATGCCCCTTGGAATTTTAACAACCAAGGCGTCGATCTTGTGGTAACCTTTCTCCTTTTTTTTTCTTCCCTTTTCTGGGTTCGAAATCGTTTCATCAGATTGATTGATTACCAGTTTTACATTTTATTGTGAATTAATGGTGAGATTGGCAGATAACGGGACCATCAGGGGACCAGATTCATGATTTCCGTAACAGAATAAGTGAGAAGTACGAGTTTGTTGTCCACAAGAAAGGGGTTTACAGATTCTGCTTTGCCAACAAATCTCCGTATCATGAAACCATTGATTTTGATATAAAAGTTGGGCATTTTACATACAATCATCAGCATGCAAAAGATGGTGAGTTTAAACTATTGGTACCATTTTGTTTTCCCTTCAAAAAAAAGGGGGGGGGAGGAGGGGAATGATTATCTCTTTGAATGATGTTTGCAGAGCATTTTGATCCTTTGATGGATCAGATATCAAGGTTGGAGGAAGCTCTTTACAACATCCAATTCGAACAGCATTGGCTCGAGGCTCAGACGGATCGGCAGGCGATAGGTAACAGCTTAAATGTTTTGATCTGAATGTCACCAGAACTGTTGGTGTTTGACATTTTTGAACATAATATGTTGTGCAGTGAATGATAACATGGGGCGACGAGCACTTCACAAGGCAATGCTTGAATCAGTTGCACTTATAGCGGCAAGCATCCTTCAAATTTTCCTTTTGAAACGCATGTTTGAACGAAAGCTTGGAACATCCAGAGTGTAATCCCTCTTATATTTTGCTGATATTTACACACTGCAAGCTCCAAGTGTATCGTATCTGTCGTTTAACCCCAACTTGTTTTGTACTTAATGAGTTAATGTTACTACCACCGATATGTCAGTAGAAGCAAATTTTGTTCTGTTTTTCATTTTTGGGTGATAAATTATTGTATTGATTCTTTGTATAAACATCAATAATTTACCATTGAAATTTCAGAAATACTTACGTTTGTTAACTTTCCTGTTAATGGAGTCGGACAGGGGATCCTTTATCTCCTACCTGTTTATTATCGTCATGAGCATGCTCTCGGGTCTGTTGAATCAGGTTGCTGCACATGTAATATTGGATTTCCCCCCATAATGAAAGACACTTGGCCTTATACATTCTAGACAATTTTCGTATGATTTCAGGTCTTCGGATGAACTGTTCAAAAAGTGAGATTTATTATTTTAGAATAAGTCTATTTATAAGATGACATATGTTTAGTATTTTTTTAGTCAAATGATAATGTACATATTCTACAGATACAGTTGTTTGAATCTGTTCTGCAAATACAGTTGCTTGAACTTGAATTTTCTAAGAAAGACGATATTTTTTGTCATTGAAACCACTAAATAAGTTCTTGGTAGAAAAAATTGCTTCGCGAATAAGGAGTCAGATTATCAAGCTCCCATCGTTCTCGGGTAGACCGTAACTTATTCAATTCAGCTTACAGAACTTTTGGTGCAAAATCTTTATGCTGCCAACGAAGGTGATTCGAAAAATCACTAAACCTTGTAATACCTTTATGTTTACCAAAGGCTGAAGGAGGTCTATGGGTTAGAGACATGATATTGTGGAATAAGGTTTCGGTTATGAAAAGTTTTAGATTACATGTAATGTTTTATTTTATTTATTTAATTAGAATGAAAGATTACGATATTTGTTAGAGAGAATAATATAATAATTTATTTAATTAATTCGTGTCTTATTATTTCTCAAATAAATTATCTAAATAATAACTATGATTAATTGATAAAAGTTAATAATAAATTGATTCAAAATATAATAATTAAATTTAATTAATGTTGATGAATTAAATATTGTAATTTTATATTGGAAATATAAAATTGCACCATTTAATCTTAAATCAAACTATATTTAACAATAAAAACTTTATATTAGAAAAAAATATAGTTTAGACAAGAAATATCAATTGAGAAAACATTATTTTCAAAGTTATATTATAAAAAGAAGCAATGCATTCATAATAAACAATGCTCAAAGTGGCAATCAAATAAGATGAAAGCATTCTGAATATATTGCTCCTGTCTTGCGGTTTAGATAATATGAATCCCTTCTCCTGGAAGCCTGTAACACCATAAGTTCCATCTCATTTATCTGTAGCTTGGACACAGCACAGCCATTTTTTCTGCAGAACCATCAAATCAAATTTCATGAATCTGCAAATATAATAGGATATAATAGCTTCGGATATCCATCTAGTATGAATCTACAGAAAATTCTACATATTGCCAAATACCAAAACATGAACTTACAGGAGGCGGCTTCTGATCTTGCTTGCGTGTGGGGGCATCGTTGACAGGCAAATCAAGCTTGGGACCAGCCTTTTTCTCATTTCTAGCCTTGTTGAAGATGACTGTAAACCCCTCGGCTGTTGCAGGATTGTTGACGTCCCATTCTCCAAACTTTGGTAATGCTCGGCCCTTCTCCTGTATGCCATAGCAGCTAATGGATGATACATTCATGAAAATGATTCAGCTTTTTTAAATGCATAAAAGGCATTAGAAATGCCTGAGATTTGAGAATTTTAATCATCCAAAAGGAGAGACAATAAATCAATAATGTTGTTTCCTCTCATTATCGAAATCTATAATCACGTTGCCGATACCAGCAAAAGACGGAAATATTATAGAACATAGAATTCGGAATGAGGAAACAAAGAATCTAATAGGAAGGGATTAATTGCAAACATCATGGCCTATTAATACAATCTTAACGAAAGAAAAATGCCAAGGGAATAGGAAAAGATAAGTGTTACCGCCATGATTTTGTTCTGAGATTTCAATGCAGAGAGAGAGAGAGAACGAGAGTGGCTCTGGTATTTGTGTCCTCTGACCTCTCTCTATATCTTTTAATTAAAAGAAGAAGAAAAAAAGAAATTAATTCTGTTTGACGAGTAATTTTTAGTATATACTAATTACTATTGGTTGAATCCGTTGGGACAGAAAAATCAGAAAATTATCAATTTGAATTTTTTTAATAAAGCCAAAAAAAATTAAAAATAGACCAAATCGATTGATTAAATTTTTAGTTAGTTCAATCAGAAAATCAATTGAATCGATTTTAATTTTTTTTAATAGAAAAACAAAATAAAAATCAATATATTATGTATATTCATTAGTATATAAATTTATTTATTTATTTTTTTGAAAGGTGATTTTTTATGATACATTAAAATAAATAAAAAAAACGAAACACGTCTCGTTAAAAAACCTCTCTAAATCTTGTTTTGGAGGAAAAATAGTTCACCAAACCGATGTTAGATCCACGTACCATCATCGTTCAAATTATAACACACGCCATTCACCCACCAAAAAACAACAGCAAGATGACCTACTAGCATCCCATGCTCACTGCAACAGACAAAAACAACAAAACTCACTGATTGCATACTCAACTTCACCCTTCGCACCTGCTTTCCTTCTACACCCAAAACAGAAATGTGCTAAAGTATTTTCTAGCAGTTGAACATCACCCCTACCATCGGTTTCAACTGCACCACAAGCCTCTTCCGGCACACAACAGCAACTATTCAATATTCCTTCCACCGCTAAACAACTCACACACCAATCATCCATCAACACAGAGATTCAGCCGAAAGCATCGACTTTTCACCAATACTACCAGGCACACTACAGTTCTGACGAATAACACAAATGTTTTAACAGCAGCAATGAAGAATTTTGCAGTAAATAATCCTCCCCCAATCACACAGACCGGCAATACCACTCCAAGAAGCTAAAAGAAAGAGCTAGGACTTCTGACAAACTCTTGCACAGAGGGATACGACCGTGGCCATCTACTTTTTGCCCTGCATCCAATCCTAAAATGAGCTGTTTCAAATAGTCTAGTTTCCGAACTTTACAACCCATTATATAATACAGCGATTTTACAAGTCCACACAGGCCAGATCAACCCAAAGAAACTTAAAGACCACAACGGCTTAGCTTTCCTCCGTATCTTTTAATTATTCCACTGAATGATTGAAGTTTTAACATCTGCAAAGAAAACGAAAAATACCTGCCATAGCTTACACCATCGCTGCCATTCTGTCTGTTAACTTTACTGTGAAATACAAGCTTATTTTATTCATTAGCTTCATTGAAATATATATAGCATATTACAACAAACTTGACAGCTCAGCTATATTTCAACATTCACCCTACTTCTTCCTAGTTCAGCACCTTGTTCGTGTCTCCAGAAACATTAATACTTTGTCTAAACAAACCAAAAAATGACCTGGGTAGAGGTTTGGTAAAACCATTAGCTTTTTGATGTTTTGCTGGAATGTAATTGACATGAAGGCTCCCAGCAGCAACCCGTTCTCGCACAAAGTGAAGGTCCAACTCAATATGCTTTGAACGAGCATGAAAAACTGAATTCGCGCTCATTGCTATAGCACTCGTATTGTCGCTCCAAACAACCGGAATATTGGCTAAGTCAATTCCCATATCATTCGGCAAAGCTTGTAACCATATGATTTCAGAAACAACATCCGCGATGCCGTGGTACTCCGCTTCCGTGGTAGAATGTGACACCGAATGTTGCCGTTTGGAACTCCACGACACAAGATTCCCTCCTAGATACACAAAATATCCAGAAATTGAGCGTCTATCATCAACATTACTCACCCAATCCGCATCAGCAAACCCAACCAATTTACTTGCTTGTTGTTTCACATGATTTTCGAAACACCAAACTATAATTAAGAGTTCCACTAAGATAACGTAAAATCCCCTTGACAATTAACCAATGATTCATACATGGTTGATGCATATATTGAGCCACTCGGTTAACACTAAAAGCGATATCCGGGCGAGTAGGACATAAGTATAATAAAGCACCAACAACAATGCTGTGATAAGATTGAGCATCAGCAAGAGCAGTTCATCACGAATCAGCTTAATAGACGCAACCATTGGCGTCGGAACAGAATTGGCTCCTCGAATATTCGTTCTGTCAAGAAGTTCAAGAATAAACTTCCTTTGCCGGAGAATAAGAGAATCGGCACTTCGTTCAACCTCAAGTCCAAGAAAATAACTCAATTCACCAAGATCCTATAATGAAAATTTCTCCCCCAACAACCGAATAGCACGGTCAATTTCATTAACATCATCGCCAGTGATAATTATGTCATCGACATAAACCAGCACATAAATAGCGCCACTGTTTCCACGCTGAATAAAAAGAGAAGCATCTGCTTGTGTGCCTTCAAACCCAACTTCAAAAAGAAACTCACGAAGCTTAGCATACCAACTCCGAGGGGCTTGTTTGAGATCATACAACGCCTTCTCAAGTTTGCAAACAAGTCTCGAACCATCCGAATTAAATTGCTCAAATCCCGAGGGTTGTACCATGAAATCCTCTTCACGTAACTCTCCATTAAGAAAAGCATTAGACTGCCAACGAAAGGACAACATTAATCGTGGATGGTTTCACCACTGGATTGAATTTATCTCGAAAATCTTGTCCCGGAACTTGAGCAAAACCTTTTGCAACTAAGCGGGCATTATATCGAGCTATCGAACCATCTGCATCATGTCTTGTTGCGAACCAAAGCATCATATTCTTCAAAAACCGCAGTCTTCGACTCAGAGGAAGTAAGAGCTTGAGAAATAGAAGTTGGTTCCTCAACACCATCGCTCGGTTGTGTTAAAACACCCTGGGTTTAAACACCCCAGCGTTGCTTCTTGTCAACATGCGGTGAGTGTTTAAATTAGGAGCAGGATCTAATTCTTCCATAACACCACCAGGCACCATAGAGTCACTATGTCCCGCAATAGAAATACTCCTATGTTGTCAGACACAAGACCACAGCCTGTCTCAACACCTTGACCACCAGCTGAAGCATTATCAATCAA